GGGGGGACACGGACACGGACACACCAGAGAGGGGAGGGTGGGGTGTCAGGAAGAGGGAGGAACAGGGAAGGAGGAAGGGGAAAGCAGGGGCCGGAGTCATGGGGGGGGAGGAATAAAGAGGGGAGACAGTCATTAGAGGGCCACTTGGCCCCTCGGCTCCAAGGCCCAGGACGCCCAGCCTTCCCCTGGAACCCCATCCCCACCCCATGGGCGAACAGCTCGCTGGGAGGCCGGGGCCTTACAGGGCCCCCCTGCCCTGCCCTGTGCCTCCAGCCTGAGGCCAGGGCCAGCCACCATCCCCACCCCTTCCCCGCAGAGGAGCCTGGTGCAGGGACCTTGGCGCGGGAATGGGGCCGCTAGGGGAGGGCTAATTTAATCCACACCTGGCCCCCTCCCACTGGACCGTGTGAGCTCTGCTCTGCAGCCAAGGAGGCTGACCTGTCAATCACGGGGAATCCAGGGAGACCTCTCCTGTAGAGATGGGTCATTTCTCTACCCGCCCCCAGCAGACCTCCCGCGGGGTCCCTGCAGCCGCCCAGCGCTAGCAGCAGCAGCCTGGCCTGCGGGACGTGCTCAATAAAGCTCAGCGACCCTCAGGAGCCTTGCTGTGAGGAGAGCAGGACCCACTGCCGGCCTTGGCCAGTGTCGCGGGTGACCAGGTGGATGAGAGGGAAACCGAGGCACAAAGAGGAGGAAGAGTGGCTGCATGCCTGTCCAGCCCGTGCCAGGCTGGGCCCGGTGCCAGGCAGACTAATGAACCAACTGAAATGAGCTGGCACGCCCTGTCCCGTCACCCCCATGAACTTCTGGTCAACCCACCATGGGGTGGATGGGGAGCGGGCCCTGGGGGGGACCCGGGGGTGGCAGAGCTGAGCAGGGAGGCAGAGGCTCAGGTTCCAGCCTGCTCAGGGGACTTCTAAGTCTCAGGGTCGCCTGTCAAATGAGTGTGGCCGGATGGGGCTGCAGTGAATGCCAGCTTGACCCCTGGCTCTGGGGGATCGGAGAGCTTCTCCTTCCCCCTTTGCTCACTGAGTTGTAAACCCCACCTCACCATCCCTCCATCCCCCAGCCATGGTCCCACCTCAGGGCCTTTGCACCTGCTGTTCCCACTCTGAGCACCCCTTCCCCAGCTCTTCCTCCTCCTCATTTAGCCCAGACCGCGGGTTCAAGTCCCACACAACTCTACTGCTCTCTGACCCCAGCAAACGGCCCCGCCTCTCCACTGTGCGCCCAGTTTCCCCGTCTGTAAAATGCACATGCTGACAGTGATAACAGCAATGCTGACACCAATCACTGAATTAGGTGGCACTCTAATAACCTGTTTGGCACGAAGTAAGACCTAAACAGACTGTCATTCAAGCCCAGAGACATTTACTGAGTGCCTGCTGTGTCCCAGGACCTGCTGGGGGCACTGGGGATATGTCAGAAAACCAGACAAGAGCCCCTGACCTCGGGGAGCAGCCGTGCTTGTGGGGGGGCAAGTGAATCAGACAGCAAGGTGGATGGTGTGAAATAAAGGGGATGGCGAGGGGCAATCAGGAGAGCTTCTCTGAGGAGGTGGTGTTTGAGCAAACTGTAAAAGAGGGGAGAGAGGAAGCCAAGCAGGTATCTGAAGAAAGGAGGCTCCAGACAGGAATCAGCCTGTGCAAAGGCCCTGAGGTAGGACTGTGCTTTCAGGCATGAGCTAAGATTATGATCATTTCCACTCCTGAAACTTTAGAGATCTGAAGCTCTGATTTAAGGTACAGTAGGATTTTAGGTCAAATGGAGGCAAAATGCAGGTGCGGGGGTGGGGCAGGAGAGTCACCTCAGACTTAAAAGGATCAAAGGGAGTGAATGATCAGACGGTTTTAAAAGAAAAACTCTGAGCAGCTGTTCCCAGCTTCTTCCACAGAGGCCCGGCAGAGAAGCAGCCAACTTCAGAGCAGGAGAGACTCCGGCTGCAGGTGGAGAGGAGCCGTGGCCACAGCCTGGCCCTGAGAGTACACGCAGTGGCATGAAGCCCGGGGTGGGGCGCCCAGGCTCCGTGCGCAAGTCTCTGGGTTCCGCTTGAACTCTAAGGGGGTTTGGTCGAGTTCTAGGCCCAGCTGCCCCGCATGTGTCCGCCCAAGTCCCCGGGGCAGGGACAGGAGGCTGGCCTGCCCTGGCTCCGGGTGCCCGGGGTCAGGCGGAAGGGTAAACAGCCCTTTGCCTCTATCGGGCGAGCTCCTGCCTTGGGCAAACACGAGGAGGCAGGGAGGAGAAAAGCAAATCAAATAAAAAAGTATACCCTTGTTCAGAAAGTGGTGGCCGGGCTGGGGGCAGGGGGCCACCGACGCAGCAGGGCTAGGGAACCTGCCTCAGGGGCCCGGGGAGAGCAGTCCTGACATGGCTGCCCACCGGCTAATCAGATTCCCGCAGCCCAGGGCCCGGCCCGGCTCAGAGGTGAGGTCAGCAGGCCCAGAGCCCGCCCGCCCCCGCGCCCGGCCCCACGGGGACTCACCCTCCTTCCTCATGCCCACCCGGAAGCACTTCTTGAGACGGCAGTACTGGCACTGGTTCCGGTGATGCTGGTCGATCTGGCAGTCACGGTTGGACCTGCGAGCACTCAGAGGTCACCGTGGGGGTCACCTGGACACCTACATCCTGCTCCCTGAGCCACTTTGAAGGATGCACCAGAGAAACACCACTGGGGGCCTCCCTGGGGCTGGGGAAGTGACCTCAAAGGGGCCCAGGGGCTAAGCCTGCAGGTCTGCAAAGAGGAAAGAAGAGTCGGGGTGGGTGGTGATGGATGAATAGGAGTCCATGGCAAAGCAGATTAGCATACTAGGGAGGATATGCTGGAACTGGGTTTTGAAGGATGAACAGAAGTTCCCCAGATGATCAGAGAGAGCGAAAGCTTGGAAATTTGAAAATATGGAGGCCTAAACAGTTTCATTTTACTTGGCCATTGTCAGCCTAAGGGGTGGAGTCTTTGTCCCAAGAGCAATGTGAGAGCAGAGAAAGAACGGAGTCAGGGAGCAGGGTTCTGAGAGATGACCAAGAGACTAGGGGCCAGGCCAGGGTCCCCTATGGGGTCACAGCACTGTGGGGCCCAGCATCATTGCCCTGCACAAGGCTGCCACCAATGAAGGAACGAATGAATGAATGAATGCCTGTCCCCCCTTTAAGGTCCCACCCCCACCTCCCCTCCTGTGGGAAGACCTCCCACCTTCTAACTGAGCCCAAGAAGCTTCCTCTGGGTGGCTCTTGGGGGATCGTTGTTGCTCCTCCCAAGGGCCCTGCCCTGCAAGAGAGTGAGCTCTCCATCTGTCCGTCTGTCTGTCCAAGGTCAGCCTCAGGCAGGCAGGTTCAGGCCTCTGTTCCTCAAATGCCCTGGCACCTTCTGCTCCCTCCACATCTCTCCGCACGCAGCCCAGGGCAGACACCCTGGGAGCCCCGCCAGGCCACCATGAGGGTGCCGGAGGCAACCACAATGAAACCCTCAAGGTAGGTGACAAGCAGACCCGCCCAGGCCCAGGCAGCCACTTTTCCACCCCGCCTCAGGCTCCTCACCTGGAAAAGGAAGGCCAGAGGCCGCCAATAGTAGGAGGCGCCGGGTCTGGGGAAATCTGGGGGCCCTGGGGCAGTGCCTCAAGACCCAGGCCCCAGCTGGGGGTCCCAATGGCAGCTTTAGGAGAGCTGAGGCTCTGGGGGACCTCCAAGTGCCCAGGGTCCTGGCCTGGCCTGTGAGCCCAGGCCTCTGCTCTCTGCCCCTGGACCAGCCTGAGCCCCCAGGAAGAGGCCCTGCTAGGGCGGAAGGAGCTCAGGCAGAACCAGAACAAAGCCCAGCAAGCAGGCGGGGGAGGGTCCTGAGCAGCTGGGTGGAAAGGGCCCCTGACCTCAGCGGAGGCCCTGAACCTTCTGCCACCACTTCCCCAGGTGTGGAGTCAGGACAGGTCTCCTGTCCCTCCAGATGGGAAGTTCTGCCTGCTATCCCACCTAAAGAGCACATGCTTGGCCCAACTCTGTGGCCCAGCTCAGCCTCCTCACTGAGCTTCTGGCCTCCAGTCCAATTTGATCCCAACCCTCTCTTGTCCACACATCCTCCGTGGCTCCGTGACACCCTCGGTCCAGCATCTCAGATCCACTCAGTCTAACTTCTCCCCCGCCTGGGGTTCTCACCTGACGACAGTGCCCCTGACCTGCCACGAAGCGTCCTAGGGCAGCTCTCTGCAGGAGTGCCCTCAGGCGGCAGGCCCCCTCTGTGGTCCTCCTTCAAGCGGCCCTCCCTGAGCCTCAGGCAGAGCCCCTTGCTCCCTCCTGGGACCCCAGGCCCATCCCTCCCTCTGCCCAGCCCAGGCCACAGGCTGGGGGCATCTGCGGCTCTGTCTCCTCCCGAATGGAAGAGGGCTGGGCTTGGAGCTGGGTTTCTCTGGGGAACCACCCAAGCTGGGCTCTGAGGAGACTTTGCTGAATCAATCTGAGGCTCAGAGAGCAGCAGTGACTTCACCAGGTGACCCAGCACAGAGCTTCTGAAGAACCTGCCAGCTCCAAACAATGCTGCCTCCTTCCTCCACCTTGGTGCTCCCTGCCCCCGCCCTCAGGGAGCCCCTGGACCCGGAAAGTGCCTGAACCCCTCCCTGCCCTCCCTAAAGACCCGGCCAGAGAGCAGGCAGTTATTGCAGCAGTAAGAATGAGGCCAAAGTCTGGTGGCCCAGTTAGCGCGGGAGGAGGGACTAAGCCAGCCCCCCACCCCCTAAACAGAGCACACACGGCCACCCCAGACAAGCCCTGACCCTGGACCTGGGGCCAAACTCCAGCCTTGGGTGTCCCGCCTGGTGGCCTTGCTAACGAGCCCTCCATCAGCAGCTCTCCAGGGGGATGCCCTGACCTCGACTCAACCACCGCCCTCTCGCCAGCCCCACGTGCCCCCTGCCAAGCCCAAGTGCGGCAGGGCCTCCCCCCGGTGACCCAGGGCAAGGCTCTCCGGCCTCAGTTTTGCGCATCTGGAGCATGGGACTCTCCATGTTGGCTCTGCAAAGCCGTACACGTTCAGAGGACGCAGAGTGGGGCTTGTCAACGGAGCGAAAGGACGCTCACCAGAAAACGGTGGGAAAGGGACACCCAACCCCAGAACCTTCTCCAGGGGACCTAATGCCCCAGGACCAACCAGAGAAGCTGGCAAGGCCACGCCCTGTCAGCCGGGACTGCAACCTAAGGCGCCCCGGCTCCTTCTCGGAGCATTCACGCCCACCCCGTCTGAGAGGCCAGCGAAGTTTCAGGGATTTTCCGGGAGCCTCGGTCTGCCCCGACTCCTGCCAGGGGTGAGAGGGCACGGGGGCGGGGAGCAGCCGAGGCGCGGGCAGATCCAGCCGCCCTCCCAGTCCTCCCAGCGGCGGCTTCCGGTGACCCAAGGCCCAGGGTGAGCCCGGGGGGTTCCCCCCATGGGCAGACCCAGCTCCACCCCACAGCACGGCCCCCCCAGGCGAAGGAGGCCGCCCTCTGCCACCCAGTCTCGCTCCGGCCGCCGCCTCGGTGGCCAGGGCGACTTTGGAAGTGATATTTGACCCCAAGGGCGCGCCGTATCGATCCGCGCGGCCGCAGACAATGGCCCCTGGACGCTTCGAGCCCCACAGTCCAAGTTTCACGTTCGATTCCCGCGGGGGCCCCCGTGCGCCCGGATGCCCGAGAGGAGGGATGCCCTGGGGTTAGGGTGCCACCCTGACAGCACCCCTAACCCCTCCCCCCCGCGGAGATGACCCCTCTCCGGAGAAAAGAGGGAGAGAGGAGGAGCAAGTAACTGGGGCGGAAGCCGCAAGGGACCACCCGATGAGGGACCCGCATCGAAACAGCGCCGACTGTATACACAACCCTAGAAACGGAAGGGAGAGGGGAAGAGGGACCTGTGCCCCTATCCCAGAGGGGGAGTGGAGGCCCAGGGAAGGTCAGCACCAGGCCCAAGGTGACCGAGCAGGTCACAGGCCCGGTCCAGGCCGGGGCTGGGGGCGCGGCGGCGGGGCGCGGATAGAGGGCTCACCGGCAGGTGTAGCTGAGGTTGCGGCGGATGCTCCGCTTGAAGAAGCTCTTGCAACCCTCGCAGGTGAAGACGCCGTAGTGCTTGCCGCTCGACTTGTCCCCGCACACCACGCAGTCCACCTGCAGCCCCGGCCGCTCCTCGTCGCCCGGCTCCGCGTCGCTGGCGGCGCCGGGAGGGGAGGCCGAGTCTTCCTCGACCGCGCGCGGGTAGCCGCCCGCCTTGTCCACGCCGTTCGTGTCGCCGCCGCCGCCGCCGGGGCCGCCCCAGCCGCCGGTCACCATGGCCATAGCCCCAGGGCAGCGGGGCCAGGGCGCCCCCTCCGCGCTCCTCCCTCCGGGCACCTCTCTCGGCCCGGGGGACCCTACCCGGCGCGCATCCGGCCCCGGCGCGCGGGGGGCACCGGCTGCACCCCCCAGAAAAGTTTTGCAGCAACTTCCTGCGGCCGGTCCGCGCGCCCGGGCGGAACTGGTCGGGCCGGTTCCAGGCCAACTTTCCCACGCGTGCGCGAGGCAGGGCCCGGGGCCGGGGGGGGCACGCTAGAGGCGCGGGCCGGGGGCCCCGGGGACTCGCGCCCCGCCGCCCTGGAGCCCCAGCGGGGGCGCGCGGGCCATGGCCCGGCCCGGGCTGCGCAGGGGGCGCCCTCTGGCCTGGCCGCCGCTCGGCCGGGGGCTGCGGCCAACTTAGCGGGCCGCCATCGGAGCGCTGGAGGCCGGGGGGAAAGTTTGGCCGCAAGTTGCGCGGCCGCCCGCGCCGGGGGGGAGGGGCGGCGGGCGCGCGCCGGGGCCGGTCGCCGCGCCCCCTGGGGCCCCCGGGCCCCCCGGCGGCTGAGCGGGACCTGCAGGGCCGCGGGCCGGCGCTCCCCGAGCTGCCGCCCCCGCTGCGGCCGCGCCCGCCCGGCCTGGGCCTGCGCCTGGGCCCGAGCCTCGCTCTCGCCGCCGCCGCCGCCGCCGCCGACCCCGCGCGCCGGCCTCGCGCTGCGGCCGGTTTGACACACAACGTTCCATCCGCGGGGCGGGCGGGGGGCGGGGGCGGGGGCAGGGGCGCGCGCCGCGGGCTGGGGGCGGGCGCTCGTTGCCCCGGCGACGGCCGCCCTTATAAGGGCATGGGTGGCCGTGCGCGGCGCCCGGCGCCCGGGCCGGCGGGGGGGCGGGGGCGGGGCGCGGGCCGCCGGCCTGACCCTGCCCCCTTCCCCGGCCCCCTCGCCCCGCCCCCCGCGCCGCTCCAGCCTTAACCCCTGCCGGGCCGCGGCGGGAGCCTGAGCCGCCGCTGCCCTCTGCCCTTCCGCAGCCTCGCCAAGATGTCTGTCCGAGGCCCTCCCCTCCACCTCCGGCCTTGGACGTTGCGTCGCTCAGCCGCCCTCGAGGCGCCCCTCCGAACCCCCCCTACATTCCCGGCAGAAGCAATAATGGGGGCCAGTTGCACCCGGGGGGCACGCCCCTGCGCAATACACACACACACACACACACACACACACACACGCACACACAGAGCCTGGGGCATTTCTTTGCACAGTCGCATGATGGATTGTGTTTGCTTCCTCTTCCAGAAAGTCGCCGCGTCCGACCCCCACCGCACCCTTTCTCTGCTTGGGCTAACACCTGGTGCTCGGAATCTCCAGGGGGAAGGGATGTTGCGGTCTGCGGCAGGCGGGGGCGCGAGGTCAGGGGGCCCCTCGGCAGAATCTCAGGCCTCTGGGGGCAGGGCGCCCAGCCCAGCCAGGCTGGAGGCGGCAGGAATGCCCACCACCCCTGCTGGGGCCTGCCCTTTTTCCTCCTTAATTTCCTTTCCTTTTTGAGCTTTACAGAAAGGGCTTGGCCGGGCGGCCGGCTGGACTGCAGATGTCTCTTCCAGGCTCCCCGGAGCTTCCCAGCTGCCGCCCCGCCTCCAACTCCCCACCCCACTCCCGCCCCCCCACGCCCCAGACGCCAGCTGGGGCCCACCAGCATTTATTAAGCACCCTTTGTATGCCCCCGCTCCTCCGGGCTGGGGAAGCCAGCCTCTAGCTCTGGGCCTGTTAACGTTTAACCGGCTGGAAAAGCCCTTGCTGGAGTGACCTTTCCCCTCGGAGTCCCGCAGGTTCAGTCGCCTCTGCCCTGCGCAGGGCCCACAGCGAGACACCAGAGCACGTGGCTGGGCCTCTGGGAGGGCTGCGGGCAGGAGAGCAGTACCCTCTACCCCCCGCCGGCTCCTACACCCGCCTCTCTCAGGAAGAGGCCTTGGGAAAAGGCATCCCCTCTCCATATGACATCTGAGGGAGCACCCTCCGTGGTGGTGGGCGGGCGCGGCGCTGGGGATGCCTGGAGACATTGCAACACTTAGGACACCGAGGTTCTGGAAAAGCCAGGCACAGCACTCTCAGGGAGGGTCTAGCTGGACATGATGTGGGGGAGGTTTTAGCAAATACAGAAACTAAGAAGGACTAGAGTTAGCCAAGAGCAAGGACTTCCCATGGGTCTGAGCAGAGTGGAGTTCTCTGCCCTGTAAGCCCCCTGGGGAACGGGGACCTGGAAGGTTAGAGAGGACCCTTTGGTTCTGGGGCTGTCCGGCAATGTGGGGGCGCTGGCTGGTTTGTATTTGGGGCGAGGACACGGGTCCTAGGCCCCTGGCGGGACTTTCTAAGATCCTTGGCAAGGGAAGACGGGGTGGGGATCTCAGAGAAGGGATCAGAAAGGGAGACTGGGAAGGGAAAGAAGGCTCAGGGAAGGGAGGGAGAGGGGAGGGGTGGGGCAGGGAACCGGGTTTGAGGGACACAAGTCTGGGGGCCGGTTCAGAAGCGACAGTCTGGGGCCAGTTTGGAGATTTAGGGGAAGAAAGTCGCCGCAGACCCCAGAACCAGGCTGGTCCAACCCCTCGGCGGCCGCCCCGCCCCCTCCCAGTACTCCGCCGCCCCGCACCCCCTGGGGCCCTGAGGGAGTCCGGCCCCACCCCCCTGACCCCTGCCCGCGGCCCCGCGGTGACATTTGACCTTGCGGCGGCCGCGGACGGGGACAAAGAGGCCCGGGCCCATCTGCGCGGGGGCACCCGTGGGAACGGCTAGCGCCGGCTGGCGGCCTGGGAACCTGCCCCGGCCCTCCTCCAGCGCGAACTCCTCCCACCCTCCAACAGGTCACTTCGTCTGCTTTTGTCCCCTCCCCCGGCCCCCCAGCAGGGGCAACCTTGTGAGTCTGGGGGCTAAGGTCATTCTTGCACTACTGGGGAGAGAGGGGACAAGAGCGGGTAAGGTCGGCTCCCGTGCCCCGCCATGGGCGACCTTGCCCGCCTCGGTTTCCCTGCTTTTCTCAAAGCCGGCCTCGGTCCAGAGGGTGTGCGCGGGGTGCGAAGGTCGCCAGCCCCAGGGCCCGCCCGCGGCGCCCGCGGCTGGGAGGACCCGCAGAGGCCAGGCGGCGGGCTGGCGCAGACCTCGGCCGCCGGCGCCCCGCAAAGGCAGCCACCCCACCCCCCGCGCACGCCCGCACAGGGGCGGCCTGGCAGCTAGCCCACACCGGCCTGCGATGAAACCCCTTCTAATCCCGTCTTGGGCTTCAGCTACCGCCCTGCAGGGGACAGCTGCCCACTAATCCAGGCCGGCCGGGTCGCCCAGACCCTCTCCCGCGCGGGCGGACGGCGCGGAGGGCCGGGACACGTGGCCCCGCAGGGGACGCGCCGGCCGCCGGCCGCTGGGACCCTGACGCCGACGCTCCGGGGGCTCCGGCTGAGGGCGGCGCGGCTCCAGAGCGCCGGTGCGCCTAGCTGCCCGCCGTGAGCGCTCGGCCGTCCTCCCCGCCCCGGCCGGCCCGAGGGCGGCTTGCAGGCTTTGCCTTCCAGGCGCCCACTACCCGGAGGCCCTTTAGCTTCGCCCCGCATTCTTTGCACCTTCCAAAGCAGCCTCTGAGTCCTCCTCCCCCTCCGCCCCGCGAGCCCGTGCTCTTCCAGCCAGCTTTCCGCCCTGGACCCCGCCAGCCTGCACCTGCCGTCTGGGATGGGGGCATCTTCCTCTTGGGAGCATCTGCCAGGCCCGGCCCAGGAAGGGGTGGGCAGGGGAAGGTGTGTGGGGGCTCCTGAAGGCAGGTGAGAGTTGGAATTCCAGCTCTGGATGTAGGACCTCACTGACCCCCTGACTGCACAGCCCAGGCTGCTTCGGGCATGACCCCGCTGACATGTCCTGTTAACATGACGCATGGTGCCTGGCAAGAAACACCAAGTCTTTCTCAAATGACCAGCCACCTTCCCCCCCAGGCCCCAGAAGCTCAGGTGCACCAGCCCCCACCGTGCTGAACGTGCCTCAACAAGCAAAGTCACAACACATGACATCATAACATCACTCCGGGACAGTTTATGACATGGCCCGCCACAGCTGTCTGGCCGGTCCGGATGCAGCAGGGGCAAGGCCTACAGAAAGGTTTCTCCTGGCCCGGGGGTTGGGCAGGGCGGCCGGGGCCTCCCCAGGGCCCTCACTGTGGCCTCCAGCAGGGCCAGCTCCTCCGCCTGTCGGGCCTCCATTAGTGCCATCTGCTGCTCCAGCTTCCGTCGTTGCCCCTCCTGCTTCCGGTGGGCGCCACGGAAGGCCAGGACCAGGGCGCTGGAGGGGGGAGGCTGAGCTAGGAAAGAGCCCCCGCGCCACCCACGAGAGGGCTCTGTACCCCCCGCCCCAGGCAGGGGCTCTTTGAGACTGGGTCTTCCTGAGGCCTCTGCATCATTCAGCAGGGGCTGACAAACATTAGGCACCAGGGGAGGTGTGGGGTGGATTGAACTTGTCACCCACATTATGGGGGCAAGCCGAGGCTCAGAGAGAGCCAGGGGCTCTTCCAGGTCTCCAGGGGAGGGGCACCCACCTGTGAGCCTTGCATAAATCACTGTTCAGCTCAGCACTCTGAGCACGTCTGGCTCGCCCCTTCTGAGCCATCTGTTCCAGTTCCTCCCACAGAGACTGCAGCTGCTCCCGCAGGCCCAGGGCCCTGGTGCAAGGGTGGGGAGAGAGGGGCTCACAGCCATACCAATCCTGTCTTCCTTCCCGCCTCCCACCTCCCTGCCCACGGTGTTGTCTCCATGTGAACACAGCTGTACACAGGCATGCACACAGCACCGCCATGGGCTCTCCCAAATGCCCCACCCAGGCCACACATCCCCCAGCCTGGGACCCAGGCACACACACACCGGGCGAGTGACGCTGCCAGTTCCTGGGCCAGCTCCTCTGAGTCCTGCACTTTGCCCACCTGGCCACCATCAATGCCCCTGCTGCCACCAGGGACAGCAGGAATGCCCTGTGAGAGACAGAAGCAAAGGTAGTGACATTGCCCAGGCTGAGGGTTTGCTCAGCCCAAGCTGGATGTTGAGGTCTCCCAGACTGTGGTGGCCACAACCCCTCCCCTCATAGAGTCCCCAGTCTGGTGAGATACCCCAAGAAGGGTAAAATTAATTCCTAACAAGGGAAATAAATCATAGGAGCACTCATCTTAAGGCAGTCTAGGAGGGCTACCTGGAGGAGGTGATGTCTGAGCTCAGACTGCAGGAGGACAAGGACTTAATCAGATAAAGAGGGAAGTGACTGGTGTTCCTGGCAGGAGCACAGCACGTACAAAGGTTTGGAGGTGGAAGAGATGATTCAAAGGAGGATTCCAGAAGCTGCTGAAGGCTTTAAGCAGAGAACAGACAGGATTAGACAGGAAGGGGCAAAAGGGAAGCCCTCAGGGGGGAAGCTGGAACCAAAATCTAGGAAGAGATGATGCGTGGGCTGGCCTGTTGGAGTGGAGGGGGAAGTGTAAATAAGTCTGGGGGTGAGAAGGAAGAGGGACAGCTTTGAGTGACACGCTAAACCCCTTGGGGCTCACTGGGCTCAATTCTCTCCAAGAAAGAAACCCTAAAGTACAGGTGGTAAAGCTGGACATGCAGCTTCATCGTTTAACTCCTTCCTTTTTGCAGAAATGGAAACTGAGGCTCAGAGGGGGCCAGGATTGACCAGAGCCCCCTAGCCAGTAGTGTGCTGCTCTCTCTGCCAGGTCCAGCAGGGCCCGCTCACCTGGACCCGCTCCTCCTCGTCTCCGCTGCTCTGGCCTCCACTGCTGTCGCCACCACTGCTGTCGGCGCCCCCCATCTGGAGCTGTGCCCGCTCCCACTGCAGCTGCTCCAGCAGGAGCACGTGGGCCGGGCCCTGGGCGCGGAGGGCAGCCTCCCGCAGCTCCAGACCCCGCTTCTCCCGCCGCACCAGCTGGAGCCGCAGCATTAGGTCCGCCAGGGTCTCCTGAGAGACGAAGGAGAGGGCAAAGAATGTGCGCCTCTAGGATCAACTGCTGGAAAAACAGGCCCCGGGAGGCGCCCGCTGATGGCCAGTCAGGCAAGAACTCCGTCTCACTGTGATCTTGTGTGGTGGCAAAGACCGTCCTCCCACAAAAACTACAGCCATGGAAACGGCCGTGCAGAGAGGGCAGGTGTCTTAGACAAGTCAGGCAGCAGCTCAGGGGGAGCAGTCTTCATGCCAGGCTACACACCCCAGATTATGTCCCCTACCCCCATCTCTGTCCCATAGGAAGGGCATTTTGCAAAGCCAGATGTGGAGTCTTATAAGAAACTGAATTCCAGAGGACAAACTCCTATTCATCCTCCAAAGCCCAGCTCCACATTCCCCTCCCTCCAGGAAGCCTGCCCCCAGCCCAGCCGAACTCTCCTTTGCTACTTGGTCCCCCAACCACATCCCTCTCAGCCTCAGTCAAGGGTTTTGTCCTACGTGGTGACCAAAGCCCATGTGTACCCGCGTGGCTGCCAGGTCCTGCTGGATCTGCATCTTCTCCAGCCGGGGCAGGGCTGGGCCAGGCTGGGTCCCCAGAATGGCCTGCACCATGGCTTCTGCATGAGGCACGGCGGGCGTGGGTGCCAAGGTGGGGCCAGGCTCTGGGGGAATCTTCACTAGAGCACGGCGCTCCTGGAGACGCTGGACATAGCCCCGGAGCTGGGTGGCCACCTCCTCTGGTGTAGGCCTATCCACACTGCTGCCCTCGGGGCTACAGGAAACATAAGAGGGGCCTGTGTCAACACTGGCAGACATGGTTGTGCTAACTTCATGCTGGCCCTGGTGGGCTCTATCATCTTCCATCTTACTGACCATAATGGATCTTATGCATCTGTGATGGGTGCTCTCCAACCAACTTGGTCGGCACCATAACGCTGACCCCAATGGCAACATCATCCATCAAGACAACGTAGTGAACACCCTTGTGCCAGTGGGCACCATTGCTCATGGCAACGTGGTGGATGCCATCACACCAACCCAGTGGGCACTGTCACTCCTGCCAACATGGTAGACAACATCATGCCAACTCAATGGGCACCATCACTCAGCTTGCCAACTCTGTTAGGCAGTATCGTGCCAATCCCAGTGGGTACCAACATCAGCCCAACCCCATTAAGCACCATCATGCTAGTTCTAATCAGTGGGCGCCATCATCCATCTTCATGCCAAAGATGTCCTATACCAAACCCAGTGGCTGTCAACCACCATGCCAACTTTGTTGAGTAGCAACCAGCCAACTCCAGTCAGGCCTCATGCCAACAACAGTGGGCCACGCCAACCCCCAACACAGGACCAGCTCTGGGAGCCCCATTCTCCAGTTACGACCCCATTCACTGGCCCGTCCACTTCCCAGGGTTCCCAGAGGTACCTTGGTTGTGGCTCCCTCAGTGTCCCACCATCCATGGCAGCCTCCTCTTGTGCCAGCAGCCTCTGAGCTTCCTTCTCAGCTGCCTCCAGGTCACCCACGCAGGCTTCTGCTCCTGAGCCCGCTTCCCAAAGAGTGAGCAGGGCGCCATACCCGTCCTCACAGAGCTCACTGTGGGACACTGGTTCTGAGTGCTCCAGGACACCCAGCCCCAGCTTGCTGTGTAGGTGACATCCCCACTTGCTCCTGGCTCCCTTCCTTCACCTCCCACCTCCGCCCCCAGGAGCTTGCAAACTCCTTCAGCACCTTCACCTAAAATTGCCTTCATTTTTGCGGTGGGGGAAAGTGCTTTCCTGCAAGCACCCTGTCTCTCTCTGAGGATGGGGGCCCTCCTCAGGGCACACCCCTTCCCTTCCCAGCCGGTGACGTCACGCTGGGGTGCACGGACCTGTATTGCAAGGCCAGACGCAGCGCGGTGGCCTCGGCCTCCCGCTGGCCCAGCTGCATGCTGAGGCCCTCACAGCGGCCCTTGCACTCCTGCAGCACAGCCGACAGCAGGCGGTTGAAGCCTTTCAGCTTCTCGATGCTCCTGCCTCCGAAGGTGGGGAAGAGGGAACGTGAGAGGCCTCTCGGGGTGGTCAGGACCTGATGGATGTCGCCACTCCTCCTCCCTGCCCTGACTCCGGCTCCAGGCCCGGCTTTATATGGCATTGCCCAGGTGCCCTCACGAGCTCAGCCTTTGTGGCTCTTACCCCCGGAGTTGCTCCATCTGGGCTTCCATGATGTGCATCTCGGGGGCGACGGGCTGGGTGGGGAGAGGCCCAAGCATCTGGGTGCTGGAATCACTCCGGAGGCGCCGGAGCAGGGGGTGAGCCAGGGAGAAAGGGTCCTGCTGGGAAGATGTGACTTGCTTCACTGATTTGTCACCGATAATCACCATGCATCGTCGGTTTAGGCCTTTGCCAAGCCTGGAAGCTATGGGATTGCATGCCCAGGATTTGAGGCTCCCCACCTCAAATCCTAAGGATCTCAAAGTCATGGTTTTGAGCTTCCCACACTCACATGAGTCCCCCAAGGCTCCTCGTCTGCCCCAGAGCTGCTGGAACCACTGCCCAAGCCACCTGCTCGGCCACGGGAGGGAGGTGGGAAGGGCTCCAGGCTCACCAGGGAATCCTGTAGCTCCTGGACCTGGTGGGAGGGGGGCGGGGGAGGGGAGGTCAGGCCTGGGGGCTCCAACCACTGGCCAGCCCTCTCTAAGACCTGTTCCTAGAGTAGTGGCAAGAGCGCCGGCTGGGAGAAAGGAACCCCAGCTACTCAGCCCACCAGATCCCTCACTATACGAGCTTGGGCAAGTCACTCAGCCACTCAAGACTTCTCTTTCCTTAGACATACAGGTGGTCAACAGGCACATGAAAAGATGCTCAACATCACTAATCAGCAGGGGAATGCAAATCAAAACCACAAGGAGACAGCACCTCACACCTGTCAGAATGGCTGTCATCAAAAAGACAAGATAACGTGTTGGCAAGGATGTGGAGAAAAGGGGATACTTGTGTGCTGTTGTGGGGAGTGGAAACTGGTGCAGTCACTATGGAGAACGTATGGAAGTTTCTTAAAAAACTGAAAATGGAACCACCATATGATCCAGCAATTCTGCTTCTGCATGTTTCTCTGAAGGAAATGAAAACACTAACTCGAAGAGATATGTGCACCCCGTGTTCACAGCAGCATTAGTCACGAGAGCCAAGACGGGGAAACAGCCTGAGTGCCTGTCGATAGAGGAACGGATAAAGAAGGTGTGGTATATATGGAATACTACTCAGCCACGAAAAAGGAGGAGCTCTTGCCATCTGTGACAACATGGATGGACCCTGAGGGCATTATGCTAAGTGATGTAAGTCAGACAGAGAAAGAGAAATACCATATCACCTCACTTACATGTGGAATCTAAAAAACAAAACAAAGCAATTGAACCCACAGATACAGAGAACAGATTGGTGGTTGCCAGAGGCGGAGGATAGGGGGTGGGAGAGAAAAAAAAAAGATTTCCCTTCCCAGCCGTGAAATGGGCCCCACTCCGTAGGGAAATGGCCCCCCCCTTGTGCTGGGCTCCCACAATCTTGCCACGTGGTCCCGCGGGAGATGAGGCCTGCTCCCCACGATCTCTTTCAGCCACATGGCTTCAGGTGCCACCCACATGCTGAGGATGCCCCAATGTGTCCCTCCCAGCCTGATATCTCCCCCACGCTCTGGACTTGGACATACAACTGTCCCTTTGATGGCCCCATGGGGGTGGCCCATCGGCATCTCGAGCTGATCAGGACCCAAGCAGCTTCTGGTCTCCCTCTCACCAAACCTGCCCCTCCCGCAGCCTCCCCATTTCTCACTTCCGGTCCCTCAGGTCTCCAGACCAGGACTTGGCCCCAACCCCTCTCTAGCTTTCAGACCCCCACCTGCCAGCTCCACCTTCAACATCACCCAGAATCTGCTCAGTTCTCGCCACCTCTACAACTCCCACTATCCAGCCAGTGTCTGGACTCCCTGAATCTCTAGGCTTCCACCCTGGCACCCTACAAGCTGTTCCTCCCACGGCCACCAGAGGGCACCTGTGAATGCCTGCGTCAGGTCCAGACCCTCTCCTGCTCAGAAACCTCCGTGGCTCCCACCTTACTCAGAACAAAAGCTCAAATCCTCCCCACAGCCCACAAGGCCGTGCACAACCTGCCATCACCTCCATGCCCTCATCTCCTCCCACTCACCCCCACACTGGCCTCCTCACTCTTCCTTGAACACACCAATCACACTCCCACCTCAGGGCCTTTGCATATGCTGGTGCCTCTCTGCCCACCATGTTCTTCCCCCAGAACCTTGCATGGCTCCTCCCCCACCTCCTTATGGTCTTTATGGAAATGCCACTTCCTCACTGGGCCTCCCTGATGGCCTTCGCTAAGATTGGAAGGGACCTTTGTCTGTTTGGGGCTCTGCAGTCAATGCTCCATAAAAGGTTTTTTTTTTTTTTTTAATTTAATTAATTAATTAAATTTTTGAGGAAGATTAGCTAACATGCATGCCCATCTTCCTCTACTTTATACGTGGGACACCTACCATAGCATGGCTTTCCAAGCAGTGCCATGTCCGCACCCGGGATCCGAACCAGCGAACCCCGGGCCGCCAAAGCGGACCTGCGAACTTAAGTGCTGCGCCCCCGGGCCGGCCCCGAAGGCTTTTCGAATGAACAAATTGCCCATGCTGGGCCTACCTCCTCCCTCAGACGGGGAGCCCTGGGAGGCAGGCCTGTCCCACTCACCTCTCTCTGCAGCGTCGCCTTCTCAGCCTGGATGGCCTTCAGGGAAGCCTGTATGCGAATCAGCTCGTCCTGGCGGCTGCCCAGGGCCAAGCGCAGCCAGGCATTCCTCTCTGACAGGCGGGCAGCCTCCCGCCGGCAGCCTGCCCCCTCCTGCTCCCAGCAGGGCACCGGTCCCTCCTCGCTTCTGCCCTCCTCCTCTGTCGGCCCAGGGCGGCCTGGGGGCCGGTGGCGCCAGGCTGCGGCGGCGGCCTCCAGCGCGCTCAGCGCATTCTGGAGAGCGTGAAACACATCAGGGGCTCCGGGCCCGGTGGGGCCAGGCTCCTCCTCCCGGGGGGCTGCCTCTGGTGCCTGGTGGGCTTCCTCTGCAGGTTCATGGGGTCCCTCGGGGGCTGGAGCCAAGCTCCTGCTAAAGTCCCCATCAGCCTCTTTGTCCGTCCTGTGAAGAGGCGAGAGATGGAAGGTTCTGGAAATGGGATCCTCTGGGGTGGGTGGCACACCGAGGCTGTGTGTCAAGGCTGCGGCTGCATCATGCAGGGCCTTGAAAGTCAGGCTGCGGAGGGCAATGGGGAGCCCTGGTGTGTGTGTGAGCAGGGCAGGGACACACTCAGATCTGTGGGTGGGGAAGCTACACCAGGGCTGAAGCGGGGGGCACAGACCAAGGGGCCTTACCTGCTCCCCACACCCTGCCCACTGGCCTCCACCTCAGGGCCCAGCAGCTCCGGCCTGCAGCTCTCCTGAGATGGCACAGGGCCCAGCTCAGAACTCCCGCTGGCTGCCTCAGCCTCCTCTGAACTTTCTGCCACAGGGTCCAGCTCACCCTGCAAAGAACCCAGGGCTGAGCTCTGAGCTAAGCAGGGCTGGGCCCTGGGGTCCCAAAGAGCTGGGTGTGGCAGGGAGAGGGGACACTTACGGGCGGAGCGTGCCTCCCTCGTCGGCTTCTGGGACGTGTGGCCCGGACACTCATTGCTGTCCAGAAATCGGTGTCCTCTGAATCCTCCTCCTTCCTCACCCCCAAAAGCCACAGCCTAAGCTGGGCTCTTGCCTTTGTTGTCCTGAGCAAATGACAGCCTCAATTTCCTCTTCTGTGAAATGGGCATTAATTTTCTCCCCTGGAAGGGATCTTGAGTTATCAATGCTGACTCGGCACATTTGAATGCCTCCCTTGACAGGTAGCTCACTACCTACCAAGGTTGCCCTCACCTCCCCCTTCTCCTTTGTTTCCTTTATCTTTCGCTACCTCTGTGCTCCCCTCCCTGGGACGAGGACTTCAAGAGTCCCCTCTCCTCGCCAGGGTGCTTCTGAACCAGAGGCCCCATTCCTGGGGTTGGGTCACCCCAGCCCGCTCTACTTCTACTTTTCTGTTCCTCTGGGAGCACCTTGGTCAGAGGCTCGAGTATCTTGAAGACTCTTGGGGTCACTCTAGCCACTGCCCGCTCAGGCCAGGGCGGGCCAAGATTGGCCTGGGAGGGGCCGGGGAAACAGGAAGCCCCCTCCCCTGGTCATGTGACTTGTTATTGTGCGGTTTCCTCCTCAAGGACAGCGGCTTCCTCCAGCCCCAGTGGGGCACACGTGTCCGTGTCCAGCTCCCAAGATGTCAATCCCTCCTCACTTCAGCCTCTGAGCTCCTCCAACATGTGAGCCTGAGATTCCTTATCTGTAAAATGGGGTAATTACAGCATTTTCCTACAGTGTCTTGGGAGTTCTAACAAGCACTTTGCACGCGGCCGGCTGGGCACCATCCGGGAAGTGAATCGTAACACACCCTCCTGATTCCCTGCTATCTCTCTGTCTGTCCCATCTCTGCTTCCTCTGCCAGCTGCTGTTTTTCTTGCATAAATGCGGCATTCCTCAGGGCCCAGATGGTCCCTCCATCCTGTCCATTTTTCCGGTATCCATCTCTAAAAGGGCCTCTTCGTCTCCATCCATAGCCACAGCCCAAGCCTCTCCCCTCCCATGTGGCTGCCAGCTCAGCTCCCTCCCTGGGCTCCCCAGACACCCCTCCACTCCCTTCCTCCCAGGCCCCAGAGACAGAGATCTTACTGTTCCCTTCCCCTACTCACACACCCTCCATAGCTCCCCATTGCCCTTGGGAAACATTTCAAGCTCTTCAGCCTAGCATTATAAGGCCCTTACAAACTATGCCAGCTGCTTGCACCCATGCATCCTCTCTGCTCTAGCCACGATGGGCCCCTCTGTGAACAGCTGAAGGTTCTCAATTCTCTCACACCCCGGGGGGCTTTGGCCATCCTGTAACCTCTGCCTGAAATACCCTTTCCTTCCTTCTGCACTTGGACTAAACCGTGCGGAGACTGGATTAGCCTGAATCTTCCTGGTGGCACTGTCAGCCCCTGGAAGGCTGAATCTTCCTGCTTCCGTGTCTGCAAAGATGGTAGGAAGAGAAGTTGTAATTCTCTGACTTTGGGTACCCCGGGGCATTGAAATCCTCACCCTTAGCTCCGCTCCAGCCCTATTAACCTGTTAAAAGCTCTACCACGCCAAGGCTCTTCCAAGCCTCCAGACCCTCGCCCTCGCCTCTGCCTAGAATGCCTTGCCCCTCTTGTTTATCTAGCAATTTCTCCATCCTTCAAGGCTCAGCTTACACAGCGCCTTCTGGCTGTCACTGAACCAGAGCTGGCTGATGTGGGCAGGCTTTACCGACGCTTTCAGAAATAAAGAAACCGAGGCTCAGCGTGGTTTTTAACCGGTTATGGGGCTCAGGGGAGAAGTGTGCAGGAAGGAGGAAGGGTGCTTTGAAATAGTTCCGGCTTAGTACATATTTTTGATTTTTGCAAATATACGTAAAATAAGGAGCAGAAATAAGCAACTGGGAGGAGCCTTGGGGCCTGGACCACGCCCATCTCTGTCCGCAAAGACTCGCCCCTCACGAGGTCGAGGTCAGTTCCACTAATCACCAGTCAGCCCCGCCTCTTCCCTTAAATGCCGCCCAACTCAGTCTCTCTCAGTTTGTCACACCGCAAGCCCGGCCCCCTCCGCCCAGAGCGCCGCTCCGCTCGGCCCCGTCCCGCCTCGCTCCGCAGGACCGCCGACCACCGACCGCAGTATCAGTCGGCCAGACGGAAAAGCTCCGCCTAATCTCGCTCAGCCAATCACATTCCAGGGCCCGCCCCCGCAGCCCCGCTCCCGTCTGTCACGCCCCAAACCCCACCCCCAGCCCAGCCCCAGCCTATCAGCTTCCACGGCTCTCCAGCTGCGTCTGGTTCGTCGCTCCGCTCGCCTGCGGCCCGAGGAAGGACATTTCCCAGGAGGCGTCGCGGCCGCGCCGCCCCGCTTCCGGCGGCGAAAGATGGCGGCTTCCTAGCGAGTCGGCGGCTGAGGTGGAGGGAGGTCCAGGCTACGGTGAGCGGAGAAGTGGGCCGTGAAAGCCTGTGGGGCCCGTCCCCAGAGACTCACCTCCCCTAGCCCCAGAGGTCCCGCTTCCGCCTTCAGCTCCGGTGTCTCCTGCAGTCTAGCTTCATTCCTCTTGCTGCAGCTGGAGCGTTGTTTTCCTTAGATGTAGGGGCTGCAAGGCGCGCAGAGACCACCCCAGGCAGCCCGCACCCATTGCCCAGATAGGCGCGCGGGTCCATCGGCGTCCTGTGCTTGCTCGAGGGACCCATAACACCCCGATCCTGCCCCTCCCCTGCACAGACAACCCCCGGGCAGCCCAGCGCCCACTGGAGAGAGTCCTAGAGATTATTAGTCTTTTATTCACCAAGACATTTTCAGTTTCAGGTAAGAGAAAGCCCAGCTCAATCTGGCTTAAGTAAGAGAGGGGAGTCAGTGGCTTGTATCTCTGGTTGCAGGCATAGCTGGATCCAGGTGCTCACAAGTCTGCCTGCCGTTTTCTGGGTGAGCATCACTTCAGGCGGGCTCTCTTTCCCCTCTCGGAGGCCAAAGTGGCTCCTGGCCCTTCTCGACTTCTCTCCTCCCAGGTCTGCGGCTCTAAGGAGCCGCTCTTCCGTAGTGGGACCGCTGGACCCTGTATCGGGTCACGTCCCCATTTCTGAGCCACTCACACTGGCCAAGGAAGGGGGAGGGGTTAGCCTTACGGAAAAACAGGGAGACCGTGACCTTAGGTTACAGGATAAGCCAGCGGGCCGTGTGAAAGGCACCTCTCCGCAGATGAGCAAACAGGCGGGAGGAGTGACCCTCACCGTCAGTGAGCGGCTCAGCCTGGCCTCCTGCACTGTCACCAATGTTGTTAAAACCCCTCAGGGAAGGATCCTGGCTTCCCCCATGTCTGCTCCATCCAGCCACTCAGGAGCCATGGAGGTGGCAGAACCCAGCAGCCCTGCCGAGGAGGAGGAGGAGGAGGAGGAGGAAGGGGAGCAGTCCTCGCAGCCCAGGCCCCGCACGCGCTCCAACCCTGAAGGGGCCGAAGACCGGGCGCTGGGGGCCCAGGCCAGCGTGGGCAGCCGCAGCGAGGGTGAGGGCGAGGCGGCCAGTGCTGACGACGGGACCCCCAACCCTCCAGGAGCCGGCCCGAAGCCCTGGCAGGTGCCCCCGCCAGCCCCTGAGATCCAGGTGCGGACGCCAAGGGTCAACTGTCCAGAGAAGGTGGTAAGTGAGGGCCTCGGCCTGTGGCTCCGAGGCACTAGGGAACCTTGGGCTTAAACATTCTTGCCTTTTGGGATTCACTCTGCAAACAGTCCTTTCGTGTGAGTTTCCTAGGGCTGCCCCAACAAATGACCACAAACCAGGGAGCTTCAAACAACAGGAATGTGTTTTCTCACAGTCCTGGTGGCCAGAAGTCCCACATCAGGCGTCAGCAGGGCCACCCTCCCTCCACAGGCTCTGGGCAGGGGCCTGCCTGGCCTCTTCCAGCTTCTGGGGGCTCCAGGCGTCCTCGGCTGTGGCTGCGTCATCCTAGTCTCTGCCTCCGTCTCCACGTGGCCTTCCCCTCTGTGTCCCTTTGTCTTCCTCTTCTGTCCCTCATAAGGACACTTGTCATTGGGTCAGGATGATCTTATCTCAAGATTTCACCTGAATTATATCAGTAAAGATCCTAATTCCAAATAAAGTCACATTCTGAGGTTCTATGAGGACATATCTTTTGGGGACCACAATTCAACCCACTATATCCTTGGTTTTGTGGGGGGTTTTTTTGTGAGGAGGATTAGCCCTAAACTGACATCTGTTGCCAGTCCTTCTCTTTTTGTTGAGGAAGATTGGCTCTGAGCTAACATCTGTGCCCTTCTTCCTGTATTTTGTATGTGGGCCGCAGCCACAGCATGGTTGATGGGCAGTGTGTAGGTCCATGCCTGGGATCTGACCCCGCGAGCCGCTGAAGTGGAGACTTAACCACTACACCCCAGGGCAGCCCCAGTATATCCTGTTTCTGTGTCACATGTCCTGTGGTTCATTTATTCACTCATCAAGCTGGAATCCTGAATCCCCTGAGCCCCGTCCCGAAGTGGAGAGCTTGGCTAGGAATTGGGGGCGTCGTACCACCTTTGCCGAGGGGGCTGCTTGGAGAGGCCAGCGGAGTGGTGGGGCCGGCGTTCGTGCCCCGGTGCTGCTGGGCACAGTGCCCTCCCACCGTCCGCCTTCATTGCAGATCCTCTGCCTGGACCTGTCGGAGGAAATGGCCCTGCCAAAGTTGGAGTCGTTTAATGGGTGAGGGGCACATGTGGGGCTTTGAATGTGCAGTCACAGCTGGGAGGGGCCCAGCCCAAAAACTGCAGGGTGGGCTGTCGGAGACTCCCCGCAGGCTGGCCCGGCCTGGGCCTGGCGGTGTCAGAGAGGAACGGGGATAACTGGTATCGATACAGCCGCAGCGGCTGGGGCCCTGTTCCAAGTGTGTGCGAGCTGTCAGCGCCACCAGTGTCAGCAGTGACTTGGAAACTCTGAGATGCAAAGTCGCCCAGGGCCCCACAGCAAATGGGCAGGGCCGGGATTCAGACGCAGGCCTGGCTGACCCCGCAGCCCTTGCCCTGAGCAGCTGGGTCTCTGTGGGGTTGGGTGGCAGGGGCTGGACGGTGCCTGAGCAGCTCTGGGAGTTGCTGGGGACGGGCATCCAGGACTGCCTGTGGCTGAGCAAAGGTCTGGGGGAGCTCTGGTGGGTCCCATGTAAGAGCCAGGCTAGCCAGAGGGACCCCCTTGGGGCGTGCAGGAGCTGGAGAGGGTTGGCTGGGCTGCGCCGGCCCCCTGCTGCGTGACCCGAGCCTCCAGGGCCTCGTCATGGGGCTGCTGGAGGCGTCCCCAGGATGAGCAGGTGAATGGGTGCCGCCAGGCCCGGAGGCCTCCCCTTAACACCCCGTCACTGTCTGTCCCTCCCCAGCTCCAAAACCAATGCCCTGAATGTCTCCCAGAAGATGATCGAGATGTTTGTACGGACAAAACACAAGATTGACAAAAGCCACGAATTTGCGCTGGTGGTGGTGAACGATGACATAGCCTGGGTGAGGCGAGGGCGGGCTGGGGTGCCCTGGGGTCCTCTGGGGGTCAGGGAGCCGCTTGCTGAGGCCTGTGCTTCTCCACAGCTGTCCGGCCTGACCTCCGACCCCCGCGAACTCTGCAGCTGCCTCTATGACCTGGAGACGGCCTCCTGCTCTGCCTTCAGTATCCTTCCATGCGGGGCCCCCTGTGTGGGGCTGGCCGTCCTGTCCCCAGATCCCAGGAAGCCTGAGCTCAGTTGGCTCAGGTCAACATGCCAGCTCTGCCGCTACAGGCTGGGGCGGCTCACCTCTCTGAGCCTCGGTTTCCTCTTCCGTGAGGTCGGGGGCACAGTATGCCCACTCCCTCGGGGCGCCGTGGAGATCAGGTCAGGACAGAGGAGCAGAGAGCAGCTGACTTGCCCTTTGCGTGAGCAGACTGCACCCACACAGGGAGCACTCCACCCAGGCCAAGTCTATGCTCGGTGCTTAATAAATGGCAGCATGACTGAAAGGCCACAGTCCCCACTGCAGCCCCTTTCAGCCTGGGCACGGCACCTCGGATGCTGACTCGACCGTGGGAGGCCTAAGTGCAGCCTGGAGCGTAGAGTGTGATCGCTGTGAGCTACAGAAGAACTCTGTGGCGAGTCTTGGCAGGAGGGGACAGCGCCCCCCGTAGCTCCTTCAGTGTGAGGAGAGCAGCCCTGGCCCTGAGGGGAAGGGGGGCTTTGAATCATCAAGGGTCTTCAGGGTGTCCAGTGCCAGCCCCCTAGTTCATGATCTATGCCAAGGGATACTGAGGCTCAGAGAGGGCAAGCAATGGGGCCAGGGTCGCACAGCACACCTCTGGCACAGGGGTACTTGCCACCAGGCTCAGAGGCACCCACACTCTCTTGGTGTCAGGATGAGGAAAGCCACCCGTCCCTGCCCACCCATGCTCTGCCGCCAGCCTTCTCCTTAGTGTCCCCACCAGATCTGGAAGGTCTCGTCAGCCTCATGTAAGTCCCCTGTGGGGAAATTATTGTTCACCTTGGAAGAGAAGACTCTTTTCTGAGTGAAAGCTTCAAACAGCCCAGAAATGTCCTTTGAGGAGGCCGAGGTCGGCCTCCCGCAGCTTGTCTCCCTGGAACAGCTGCGCACTCACCTTTCTGGAAGCATTTCTTGCAAAAGCAGCGCCTCCTCCAGTCTCCCTTCGCCGGGGTCTGTCGTGGCCCCTGTCCCTCAGCCCTGGTGTCTCAGCCCAGGAGGCGGCCCCCTGTTTCTGTAGGTGGCCACGTGGCGGGTGTTTCCAGCTCAGCGGGCCACATGGTCTCTGTCAGCCGAAGGCAGCCGCAGACCCTGCGTGCCAGGCGGCGGTGGCTCGTGCCGGTCGGGCATGCCTCACGGACACTGCCAGGGGAACCGAGCGGCATTGCCGCGTGTCGCGAGATGCTCTGGTTTTGACTTGCTTCTTTCCCCACCCCCATTTAAAAACATACACACCGGTCTTAGCTCATGGGCCCTGGTGTTTCGCCCCCAGTTTTCCAGCCCCGGATGGTGGACATGGCACCTGTTTTGCTTTTGCTGTCACAGTTAACTTGGTATAGCCATCCAGGCAGGTTTTGCAAGTGACCCCATGGCGTAGATTCCCAGCGGAGGCCTGCTGGGGCAAGGAGGGGTGTGTGTAATTTTGCTGGACTTCAGGGACACCAACCCTGTTCCCTCCCCAGCGTGGGGGTTGGTCACGCTACTGGACCTTCTGCTGCCTGATAGGTGGGAAGAGGTCATATGTGGCTTCGCTCTGCTTTTGTTTTCATTCATTTGTAGGCCATTCAGTGTTCCTTCAGTAACTTGTCTACTTATCCCCTTTACCTATTATTGTAGGGGATGGAGGCTGAGTGGGAACAGGGCGCTGACTTAGAATCTGAGATTCGGGCCCCGCCCCAGAGTCTCCTGGCCTGGTGGGGCAGGTCCGGCTCAGGCAGTGGTGCGGCCCGCTCGGGGCGCTGAGGGTGCCCAGAGCGGGCTCCAGCTTCGGGGTCAGCAAAGCGTCCCTGACAGAGCGGGAGAGGTCAGGCGGAACAGCCAGGCTGGGGAGGGCTCCGGGCGGAGGGAACGGCCATGTAGGCAGGCCGGCAGGCAGTGGTGGACTTGGGAGGGGTCGCTGGGGCCTCGCATGCCCGGTGAGGAGCTGGGCGCTCCGAGGGCGACGGGAGGGGAACCCCGGAGCGTGCTCTGACATGGCCCCGCTCCCCACTGTGCAGCCAGCAGAAGACAGAGCTGCCGGTGACAGAGAACGTGCAGACCATCCCGCCACCCTACGTGATCCGCACCATCCTCGTCTACAGCCGGCCGCCCTGCCAGCCCCAGTTCTCCCTGACGGAGCCCATGAAGGCGAGCGCGGCCGGGCGCAGGGAGGGAGGGAGGGCTGCCCACAGCCGGCACGGTGGTGGGGAGGGGCCTCTGACCGCCGGGCCAGCACGCCTACAGGCAGCTTCCCAGAGTCTGAGGCGGGAGCTGCAGAATTGTCATGGAGGCATGGGGTGACCCGAGTCCCCAACGCTGGTGTCCTTCCCCTGCAGAAGATGTTCCAGTGCCCGTATTTCTTCTTCGACATCGTTTACATCCACAACGGCAGCGACGAGAAGGAGGAGGAGATGAGCTGGAAGGTGAGAGGTGCGGCGGGCGGGTGTGGACGGGGTGTCTTGGAACCCGCCTGCCCTCGGCCTGGGGCCCACCTCCGCTGTGCAGCCCTGGAGCCCTGGCTCTGCTGACTCTGGGTCATGCGCTTACTCAACAGCCATCCTCACACGGCTACTGCGAGGCAGTGGGGCTGTTGGCACAGTGGCCCCGGGAGCATGTAGGGTCCTGCCCACCTCATCCCCAGCATCTGCTTTACTCTCTTCCTGTCTTTGCCCTCGTTGTGCCCTCTGCTTGGAACACCCTGCCCTCCCTGCCTCCCCAGGCTCTGCTGGGCTTTCACACCCCAGCCCTGAACTAGCTGTGTGACCTCAGGTGACCCACTTACCTCTCTGAGTATCAGTTTGCCCAACTGTGAACAGGAGCATTGAAACCAGCTCCTACTCATATCTCAATACCCAAACTAAAAGTCCCTATTCTGAGAACCCTTCCCTGCTCCCCAGAGATCAGTGTGGGGGCCGAGGGATTGTCTGTATCCCATTGTGGGAGCTCTGGGACAGACCTCTCAGGGTCCCTAAGACTGGGTAGGTGGCAGGTAATGTTTGCTGAATGCAGGAATGTTTTCTGCCTGGCAAGCTCCCTTCACCTTTCAGAACCCACCCCTCATGCCCCATCCTCTGGGAACCCCTCCCAGGACAGGGAGGGCCTGGCAGGGGCACCCCTGCCTGAGCAGCTTCTCCCTGGTCCCACAGGACATGTTTACCTTCATGGGCAGCCTGGATACGAAGGGGACCAGCTACAAGTATGAGGTGGCACTGGCCGGGCCGGCCCTGGAGCTGCACAACTGCATGGCCAAGCTGCTGGCTCACCCACTACAGCGGCCCTGCCAGAGCCACGCCTCCTACAGCCTTCTGGAGGAGGATGACGAGGCCGCGGAGGCGGAGGCCACTGTCTGAGCCCTCCCTGCACACCCACCCTGCTCGCACAACGAAGCCCTTGGCTTCTCATACAGGGCTCTGCGCGACACAGGGGAGGGATTCCAGAAGGCACCCAGGGCACCTGGGGAGCCCTGGAAGGAAACCCAGGATTCCAGGAAGCAGCCCAGGGACTCTGGGCACCCATTACCCATATTTCCCAGCCCACATCCCACTGCCAGTTTGTCAAGTGTGATTTTTGTTGTTCCCTGTTATTTTTGTTGCCAAAACAAAAATTTGAGAATCCACAGCAATCAGCTTGTGTTAATTGGGATCTTTTTGGTTGCAAATGACAGAAAACCCACCCACTGAGCAAAAAGGGGGATGGCTTGGTTGGTAGGGATAAGCAGCCAAGGTGCAGCTTCAGGCTTGGCTGTATCCAGGTGCTTGGGCAACACTGCCATTGGGGAGGGCTGAAATACCCTGCATAGTTAGTGTTCTGTGTGCCCTGCATACCTGCCAACCTGTGGAAAGGGGTGAGATGGCCATGAGCAGTCCCCAAACCCCAACCCAGGAGAAGTGGCACTTCTCCCAGCATCCCCGTATGACTGGCCTTGCCTGGGTCGTGTGACCTTGCATTGAGCCAGTCATGGGCCAAAGCTCTGGGATGCTCTGATTGGCCAGGCCTGCATCAAGCGTCTCCTGTGGGAAAGCAGGATTACAGCGCGATGGGGAAATGCTGTGGTGCTCTCGAGGGGAAGGGAGACGGAGATAGGCAGACAGGTCCACCCTTCGGCTGTCTTCCTGGATGACGAGCAATCATGGAAGAAGGGTAGCAACCGGACTTTCTCAGTTCCACGTAGAAGGAAACAGCTCTATGGAGCAACTGCTTTTCCTCCCCGTGAGCATATATTGGGCACCTGTGTTCCAGCCCCTGGTTCCACTTCTCAGCGGCCCGGAAAGGATCACTCTCCCACTTGGCAGATGGGGAAATAAGGCCCTCGGAGGCCCACCGCTCCAAGGAACGCCTCCGGTTCCGCGGGCCTGAGCACAGCGACGCCGAGCTCCTGGCGCGGGGGCGGCCACGAGACGCCTCACACGGCCCCGGGCTGCGCGCGCCCACGGCCGCCGCCCCGGCAGAGGCTTCCAGGAGCTCTGGGGCCCCAGCTCGCAGCCCCACCCCTCCGGCAGGGCGCCTCCGCGGGGCCCCGTTCGGAGACGTGATAACGGCGCACCTCGCGGCCTCAGCCACTCCGGCCCTTATCGGCTGCGCCAGACGGTGCCCGCGCGCCACTGGGGGGCGCCGCCCCGCACGCGCGCCCAGGCTCGGGCCCCGCAGGCGGCGCCGTCGGGCTGGGGAGCCTGCGCGGCGCGGCGGCGCGTGCGCACACGGGCGGCGGGCCGGCGGGCGGGAATCCGTGCGCCGGGTCGCGCGGGCATGGGTGCGGCGGCTCGCCTGGCGCGGCGGCTGCGGGAGGCGCTGCGGGAGGAGGAGCCACGGTGAGCGCGGGGCGCGGGGCGCGGGGCGCGGGGCGCGGCGCGCGGCGCGCGGCTGGTCCACGCTGAACCCCCGTCCGTAGGGCCGTGGAGCAGCTGCTGCGCCGCGGCGCCGACCCCAACCTGCTGCTCGAGGATGGCGCGGCGGCCATGCACCTGGCGGCCGGAGCCCGGCAGCCGCGCGCTCTGCGGTGCCTCGAGGCTCTGCTGCGCCGAGGCGGGGACCCCAATGCTCGGTGAGGCGGAGCCTGGGCCGGGGCAGGGTCTTCCTAGTCCCGGCGCCGGGCCTGGGAATCCGGGAAAGGGCGTTCCACGGTCCAAGGGTGGGAACTCACTGCCCGAGGGGGGGACCTTGGGAACCTGGGCAGGGATCCTGAGGGTCCAAGGCGGGGGGAAGGGTCCCAGACCGACCGTGGGGTACGGGGTTGCGCTGGGGCCGAAGTGAGGATCGAAGGTTCGGCTCTGGCGGTAGAAGCTCTAGGGTCAGAGAGCTTTGGGTCCCGGCCCGAGGGCGCATCTTCTGGGTTCCAAGGGTGGTGTCTCAGGCTGGAGAATGGAGATGGGGGTCGCGGGGGCCGGAGATCGAGTCCGTCTGCTCCTGCCCCAGCTCGGCCGAGGCGCTGACGCCGCTGCACGTGGCCGCCGCCTGGGGCTGTCGCCGCGGCCTGGAGCTGCTGCTGAGCCAGGGAGCGGACCCCGCGCTGCGTGACCAGGTGGGCGGCCCTGCGCGGCTGCGGCGGGCGGCCCCGGAGGGCGGGCGGGGAGAGGGGAGCGAAGGGGCCCCCTGCTGACCGCGCCGCCGCAGGACGGCCTCCGGCCGCTGGACCTGGCGCGGCAGCAGGGGCACCAGGACTGCGTGCGCGTCCTCCTGGAGCTCGAGACCAGGACCAGGACCCCGACCCGGACCTGGGCAGAGACCCAGGAGCCCGAGGCAAAGCCTGATGGTGAGGGGGGCCTGCCGGCCTGGGGCTCCTAGCGTCTGATCTGGCTTCGCTGTCTGTCTGTGCTCTCCTCTCTCCTGCAGCTCCGTGTGCCTCCCACGCCGTTCTTCCTTCCCACAGCTTTTGCTGCCTCTTGCTGTGTGGTCCAACTCCCATCTCTGTCTCTGGCTCCCTCTTCTGCTTCGCTCTGACCCCCCATCGCATCTGCTGCTTCAGGCCCAGGCCCCCGGGGAAAGGGGCCGGACGCCAGCCCCTCTGAACCCCCCGACGTGACGCTGGACTCCACAGCACCGGGCAGAGGTGACACCAGAGACAGGGACCTGGGGTGTGGTCCCGGACCCCCTGGTCTTCTTGCCAATCCTGAGGCGGCGGACAAGTATGGCAGCTTGGAGTTCCCCCCAGGGCTGCAGGACTGCAGCACAGACGCCTCCTTCGTCACGGCGGTTGAGGCCTCTGAAGCCGAGGCCCCAGCCCCAGACATCTCCCCCTGGGCAAGGTCATTGCCCCAGACCAGGCAGGGGCTCCTGACTGGCGTCCAGCCCTCCCAGAGAGTGCCGAGATCTCTGGGTACCCCACAGCCGGTACATCAAGCCGTCCTGGCCAGTAGGGAGGCAGAACTAAATGCTGGTCTGCAGGCCCTGACCTTGACCCCTCTGGATGCCTCCCCCTGCCCCATGTCCCTCCCTAACTGGAGCCCAGCCCACAGTCCCCCTTGGGAACCACTGTCTGGACCCCCCAATTTCCGCTTCCTGACCGATGACCAGTTGTCCCTGGACAGTGATGTGGCAGCCCTCTGGCTGACGGAGGACGAGGCAAGCTCTACAGGCAGCAGGGACTCTCTCCCCTCCTCCTGGCGCCCACCAGTCCCTGCCACGTCTGACCTGGAGCTGCTACAAGGGCCCCGTGTGCTTGGCACGAGCCCTGGCCCCGTCATGCCCCGCACCCGGCCGCGCTACCTCCGGCGGCTGGGAGAAGCACCGGCTGCTCCTGGTTAGTCCCTTCGGGGCATCCAGCATCCAGGGTGTCTCCAGGAATCCCGGGAGATGCCTGACTTCCTGTCGTGCCTACTTCACTCTTTGTCTCTGGGAACCCCCCTTCCTCTGTCTCCCTTGACTCAGTTTCTTCTCCCAAACCCAGACTTTTCAGGGCACAGCCCAGAGCTGGCCAAGGCCTTGCAGACAGGCCATATCCCAGATGCCCAGGCAGATGAAGATGAGCTCGCCCAGCAGTTTGAGCAGCCAGATCCCACCAGAAGGTGGCGGGAGGGGGTTGTGAAGTCCAGCTTCACTTATCTGCTGCTGGATCCCAGGTATTTGGGGCAGGAATGACCGAGAAGTGGGAGCTGGAAAGTTCCAGGATTGCTGCTTTTTTTAAAAAGGTTTTGTTTTTCCTTTTTTCCCCAAAGTCTCCCGGTACATAGTTGTATATATTTTTAGTTGTGAGTTCTTCTAGTTGTGGCATGTGGGACGCCGCCTCAGTGTGGCTTGATGAACGGTGCCATGTCCGTGCCCAGGATTCGAACTGGCGAAACCCTAGGCTGCCAAAGCAGAGTGCGCAAACTTAACCACTCGGCCACAGGGTCAGCTCCCCAGGATTGCTTCTGATTTGCTGTGTGTCCTTAGGAAGGGGACTGGTCCTCTCTGGGCATCAGCTGCCTTATCTATAAAAGGTGGCTTGATCCAATTCAAGCTGCTGAGTGTCTTCGGGGAGCAGCTGCCCCTCTCTGCTCTATAAAACGGGGGTCACTGGAGGCTGAGCTGGTGGCATAACAGTTAAATTTGTGAGCTCAGCCTTGGCAGCCCGGGGTTCATGGATTTGGACCCAGGACGTGGACCTACGCTCATGAAGCCACACTATGGCAGTGTCTCACATACAAAACAGGAAGATTGGCACAGATGTTAGCCCAGGGCTAATCTTCCTCACCAAACAAAACCCCCCAAAAAAAGCCCAGAACAAGGGTCACTGGATGTGGGTTCAGTTTGCCTTGTGAACTTAGTGGTTGTTCTGGGGCAGCTCTCGTCACTGCCTTCTCTGAGCCACCCTATTCATCCAGGAGAACTCAGGACCTGCCAGCCCGAGCCTTCTCACTGACCCCAGCTGAGTGCCTTCGGACTTTCGTCCATGCTATCTTCTATGTGGGCAAGGGGACACGGGCCCGGCCAGATGTCCACCTCTGGGAGGCCCTCAGCCACCGTGGACGGCCAGGAAAGCAGGTGTGAGGATAAGGAGCAGGATCATGGCATGGGCAGCCAGGCTGTGGGCAGATAGAGTAAGGAGGGAATTGAGGGGCAGACTCCTGATCCTGCCCTGGCCCCCTAGGCCTGCCCTAAGGTGCGTCAGATCCTGGACATTTGGGCCAGTGGTCGTGGTGTTGTCTCCCTGCATTGCTTCCAGCATGTGGTCGCGGTGGAGGCTTATACTCGAGAGGCATGTCTTGTGGATGCTCTAGGTGGGTGCCTGGCTTATGGGATGGGGGGTGGTCACAGGAGGGCCACTTGATCTACCAATTCCCTCATCCCTTCCCTCTTAGGGCTGTTCATTTGTTTAATGAGCAGTTATTAAGCACCAACTGTGTATCTGCATGTGCTCATATATTGCTCTGTTGGTTTATCCCTGCTCCAGGGCAATACGTAGTGGGTTCATTGTCGTGTATTTCTGCCAGGGGTTCACCAAGGCTGCCCCTGTGACCTCACCCCCAATCTCTCCAGGGATCCAGATGCTGACCAACCAGAAACAAGGGCACTTTTACGGTGTGGTGGCTGGCTGGCCACCTGCCCGGCGCCGCCGCTTGGGTGTGCATCTGCTGCACCGCGCCCTCCTTGTCTTTTTGGCTGAGGGTGAGCGAGAGCTACGGCCCCAGGACATCCAGGCCCGCGGCTGAGCACTGGGGAATTGGCCATCCAGCCTGGCTAGAGCTCAGGGTATTTGAATGTTCCAGCTGCCTCGTGCTGAGAGCAGCCCTCCGTCTGCAGCTCCAGAAGGGTGGGGGGTGGGGGGCAGCAAGGCGAATCTCCCCTCAGGCTGAGGGACTTTGTTACAGATGGAGCTGCTGGAGAGGTAATGACCTCACCATCATGGGAGGATGGGGATCAGAGGTTCTTTGGAACATTCCAGTGCTTCGGCACATGCTGGTGCTTTGGCAGTTTGCTCCTGTCTGTGTGGACAGAGCCCACTTTTGTCTCCCAGACACAGGACCCACAATGTGGATGGGCTGGGGGAGTCTGTCCAGCTCAACAGCCAGGTTTTGCTGCTTCCCAGCTGTGGGACTTCAGACCAGTAGTTTGTCTCTCTGAGCCTCAGTGTTCTCAGTGTACAGTGGGGACAGTGACAGGTCCTGCGGGGGTCATTGTGAAGAGCTTTGCACTGAGCCAGAGGCGGCCCTTCAGCCCAGGTGGAAAGTCTGTGGGGGAGGGGAGGTGGGAGGTGCGGCTGCGGAGGTCGGGTGTGAGGGTGAGGGAGCAGCCTTCCTGGGGACCGCTGGGCGCCTTGAGCCTCCCGGATTTCTCTGAACCTCTTGCTTCCACAGTAAAATGGAATCAATAGCCCTGACTTGCTGGTGACGCTCTGCGATTTCAGACTATTCACATATGCTCAAAGCTTCAGTAAATGCCGAGCCGCCGCCGTCGTCGTCGTGGCGAGGTGGTGGCGGGATCATTTAAGTTTTCCGAAAGTGTCCAGTGGGTTTAGGGACTTGGGGAGATGCGCTGCCTCATTGGGCTCTGCACCTGCCCATCATCGCAGCTCAGCGAACCAGGTCCTGCAGGGGGCGGGCGTGGCCCGGGCGGGTTCTCCGGCCTCCAGGCCTGCACTGCAGAGCCCTTGGCTCCTCTGGCGGGAACGGCTGGTATAGTAATCAGGCACCTGGCCTCTGGGCTGGGCCTGGGCTCTAACGCTTTAAGGGAACTGAATAACCCTCTCCTGAGCTTGTTTCCTCATGTGTGAGATGGGGAGCCTCGCAGCCACTAAGTCACTTGACGAACAGCGTGCCATCGGCCCAGGAATTCACTAACAGGTCAATGGGAAAGAATCCAGAGACTCCAAAGACCCCACAGAGGTGGGGTCTGCCTAACACGGTTTCCCAACCTTGGCACTGCTGACATTTGAGGCCAGGGTTTTTCTTGCAGTGGGGGCTGTCCTCTGCATCACAGAGAGTCAGGGCAGCATCCTCCCCAGTGGGGGAAATCAGAACTGGCTCCCGAATCTGCCAATGGACAACAGTACCCCTGGTGAGACCCCTGGTCTAACCCAAGGGTGGGCTCATCAACCGGTGGGGAAAGGACAGAAGATACAGCCACTCTTTCCTCCCCTGGTGCCTGCAAACCACAGGAAGACCTAGGCCTACCAAGATAGAATAGAGCAGAACCCAGAGCACAGCTGTGGGGCAGAGAAATCCTTCCTCCAGGCGGAGAAAGACAGATGCGGTGGCTTCAAAGTAAAAATCATCGTGATAAAAGCACCCCTAAATCAAGCTGAAAGATAAGTAGGGACAGGAAGAGGTATTGACTGCTGGCTGGGATGGGGTGAGGGGGTCCGTGGACCGGGGCGGGGGTGGGGCAGTCGGACCCTCAGCACAGGCCTTGTATACAGCTGGCTGCTCTAGTCGCATGCAAAGTCCACTGGTCACCTCAGCCGCCGCACTGACCTCAGCTGGCCGTCGCCCTTCCCTCTAGAGACCAGGAATTCACCCCCTGGCTCTGGGAATCCTGCCCAAGCAGCCCCTGAGTTCTGAGAAGGGAGGGAGAATTTGGGAAGTCAGCTTGGACGGTGGAGAGGACCCCAACTTGCGGTCACCCAGCACAGTTCCAGAGACTCAGATTGTCACTTTTTTTTTATTGAGTTACAAGTTGGGATGTGCAGGTTCAGTGGCGCCAGCCCCCCCGTCCCCGACTCAGTCCCAACGCTCTTGGGCAACATCGCTCCCAGCGCCGAGGAATAGGAGGTGGGGGGGTCTCGGGCAAGGGGGCGGGGACCCGAGGGTCCCTCCGGGGCTCGCAAGTCCCAGGATCAAGCACAGCTGACACGGAAGACGGAGAGCGGGGTAGGGGGCCTGCCTCGGCCATGGCGCGGGTGGAGAGGGGGCTTCTGTACAAGGTCATCCTCCGCGGGGGTCCCGGCTGCGGCCCGAAACACCGCCTGGCCCCGCAGGACGGAAGCAGAGAGCCTGCGTCCACCCGGCTCCCACGGGTGCCCCGCCCTGCCCAGCCGGTCTGGGGACGTCTCCCGACCCGACCCCGCCCACCGGGGGCGGGCGGCCAGCCCAGGTGGTCCGCGCTGCAGGGCCGGCGCCGGCTCCGGCCTCTTGCTCCTCCGCACGCCAAGCGATGCCCGCCGGCCCAGCGGCTACTTCTCTTCCGGGGGTGCGGGCAGGGCCTTGGGCGCCGGCTCGGGCTCCCAGAGCAGGAATTCATGGAGCAGCGTGTTGACTGTCTCCGGGCACTCCAGCATCACCATGTGGCTGCCTTCGTCGATGAGCTTCAGGAAGGCCAGGAGCAGAATCTGCGGGGGATGCAGGCTCAGGGCGGGTGGAGGCAGGACGGCGGCGCGCGGGGCCAGGCTGCCCTGGGACTCCCCGACATCCATGCATGGCCTGCGGTGTCGGGAAGTCTCTCCTGCAGCCAACCCATCATCCCTCCACCTCTAGCCAAGGGGTATCTGGGGGATGGCTGTCGCCCTGCTGGAGTTGGCATTCATTTGTTCTGTATTAAGTGTCTACAATATGTTCCGGGCAGGATTTTCCAGCCCTGGCACTACTGACACTTGGGGGCCAGATTATTCTTGGCTGTGGGGCGGTCCTGTTCATTGCGGGGTGTTGAGCAGTATCCCTGGCCTCCACTCACTAGATGCCAGTAGCACCCCCCCAAGTAAGACAACAAAAAAGCCTGCAGACATTTCCAAGTGTCCCCTGTGGGCAGAATCTTTGCTGGTTGAGAGCTGCTGGCCCAGAGCTATTCCCAGTGCTAAGGATCCAAGCCCCCTTCTTGGGAATCTCTGATCTAAAGATCCCCTGGCCCACCCCCTCCCACAGTGACACAGCCCATGACAAATCCAGCTGTGAAGAGCACTTTTTATGTGCATCGAGGACAGGGCATAATCCTAACACTTGTCTAGGGTGGGGCTGCTTCCTGGATTCCACCTTTGACTCTCAGTCTAAGATCCCACTTCCCTGGGCTGGAGCACAAGGCAGAGTGCCCCCAAGCTGCCCTGGGAGGGGAGGGGGGTTTGAGGGTGTGGTGAGGGGTGCCATGCCCCTACCTCGGCCATGCGCTGGTCTTCCTCTACCGGCACAAACTTGTCGTGCATGCCGTGGACGAGCAGGACAGGCACGGTGAGCTCGGCGTGGTAGACTTCATCGCCCTCGGGCCAGTACTGGCCGCTCATCATGGCCCGCAGCACGAAGGATGACACGTTGAATGCGTTGCCCTCCTTCAGCAGCTGTTTCTCTTTGGCCCCTTGGCGAGCAAAGCCAGCCCTGGTGGTGGGGAGGCACAGCTGGAGCCCCTGTGCCAGCTCTGGCCATACGGGTTTCCCTCCCACACAACTTGGGGACACATCGGGGGCCACCAGGGCTAGGGTCACTCACTTGAGGAAGCTCCAAGCCAGGCAGGGCGACAGGCAGTGCAGGACACAGGTGGGCATGTTGAAGATGGAGCAGAAGCTGGGCTCCAGCGCTGTGGGGCCCCCGCCGTTGATCATGATCACCTTGTGCACCAGGTCTGGGTACTCATGTGCCAGGAATGTGCAGAAGGAGACACTGCCCAGAGGAAGGGGGAAGGATGGGTTGAAGGGTGGAGGTGAGTGGCATACAGGCAGTGAAGGGGTTAATGCCCTACCCTCACCCAGGAGGCAGGTCCTTGGGGTCCAGGGGCCCCAGAGAGGGGTGAGGGATAGATGGGGCATCTTGAATGCCCCAAAATTGTGAGACTGTGTGTGTGTTGAGGGTGGGTTTTTTTTTGGAGAGAGAATCCAAATCTAGAACTTTCATCAGATTCTCGAAGTCACCATGACCCCCAAAGGGATAAGAATTACTTTTTGCCAAGTATTAGGACAGCAATCTGATTAAATAAGCCCTTCGGCTGCCCAGGGAAGGTCACTATTGCTTTGCCTCCCTGCCCTTTAAGGGTCTTCTCTCACTGGCCTCTGGGCATGGCCTATCTGCCTGCCTTATGCAGGTGGAAGGGCACAGCCCAAACAGCTCCCACAGTCCAGCTCCTCATTCCCTCTACAGCAGGGTTCATATGGCCTGCGGGCTAGCCACTTGTTTTTGTAAACTAAGTTTACAATTTTGTAAATTTGTAAAATAGTTTGTAAATAAAGTTTTATTAGGACACAGCCATGCCCATTTGTTTACAATTATGGCTGCTTTCCTGCAATGAGAGGAGAGTTGTGAGGTTCTGACGAGACTGACTATATGGCTTGCAAACCTAAAATATTTACTATCTGGCCCTTGAAGGAAAAGTTTGCCAACCCTTGCTGTAAAGTGTGGCCCTGGGATGCAGGTAGGAGTCGGGCCGACCTGACTGACAGTGACTCACTCTGTGCTCAACAAGATTGTTCAACCTCTCTGAGCTTCTGTCTCCACATCTGTGAAATAGTAACTGTGCTAACCTCATAGCGATATTGTAGGGTCATAGTAACTCTCACAGATGGGTACTCATTCAATTGACGGAATTGTTTATCATAAACATCCACTTTGGGGGATGTTATCATAAACAAATAAAAGCTATGTTACCTCCCAGCCTGGCTTCCTTTCTTTTGGAAACTTAGGTAACATTTCCTTTTCTTGTCTAATTGCATGGGCTACAACCACTAAAACAGTGGTTCTCAAGCTGGCTGGCTGCTGGGATCCTGCATTACCTCCTAGGGAAAGTAGAAAGTGGTACCACTTGGTAGTGGCCTTCCATGGAGTGGGCTCTCATCCAGATGCTAGATGGTATTATCACCCCTTTACAGGGAAGTGAACTACAGCAACCTGTGCCTTTGTTGACAGAATTTATGGTATTCCAAGCAGCCCTTGCTTGGGATCTCCAGAGCCTTTTTTTTTTTTTTTTTTTTTGAGGAAGATTAGCCCCAAGCTAACTGCTGCCAATCATCCTCTTTTTGCTGAGGAAGACTGGCTGTGAGCTAACATCCATGTCCATCTTCCTCTACTTTACATATGGGACACCCACCACAGCATGGCTTTTGCCAAGCGGTGCCATGTCCGCACCCGGGATCCAAACCGACAAACCCCAGGCCGCCGAAGCGGAACATGCACACTTAACCCCTGCAGCACTGGGCCAGCCCCTCCAGAGCTGATTTTTGAACTTAGCTGAAGACTGGTTCTCAGCCAGGGTGATTCTGCCCACCAGGGGACCTTTGGCAACATCTCAAGACATGTTTGATTCATCGCTAGACCACTGTGCCAGTGGCATCTAGTAGGCAGAGGTCAGGGATGCTGCTAAACGTCCTACAGTGCACACAAAAGCCCCTCACAGAAAAGAATAACCTGACCCCAACTGTCAACAGTGCGGGCATCGAGAAACACAGTTTTAAAACCATGTGAAACAGTTGCATTAGTGGCAGGAATCCTGTCTTGTTGCAGATGCTAATGGGACTTTTCAAGGAGGGAAATTGGCATTTTGTGAGTGGGTGTCCGGTCCCTGCTGACCCCCAGCCCTCCCCCCTCACCCCACCTCAGCGTTGGCTCACCCATAGGAATGCCCAATGAGCACATTTCGCTTCTTGGCGTAGCGCTTGAAGATGGCGCGCATGTCCTCTGCCAGCGCATAGAAGGTGTAGGCTGCAGCCACCTGGGGTGCCGAGCTGGCCCCATGGCCGGCCAGGTCAGGGGCCACTACCTCGTAGCCTAGGCGCACAAAGAAGTCCAGCTGCTCCTTCCAGATGGCCAAGGAGCCGCCGACACCGTGGATGAAAAAGAGCACCACATCGGCCTGTGTGCCTTTGCAGCTGGTGATGCGCTTCTCACAGTCAATGAGGATGGTCCGCTTGGGGCGCCGGGCTCGCCGCCGTCGCCCACCACCGCCACTCCCGGCACTGGTCGGGCCCACGCGGCCAGCACTGCCCGCTGGGTCTGCCAGCTCCACCTCAAGGGTGGCCGGTGGCTCCCCGGAGCCATTCTGACCATGCAGGAGGTCAGCTCGAGGTGCTGGGCCCAGGTTCTCCACCAGTAAGCGCCCGTTGCGGTACACGGTGATGCGGCGCTGGCAGCGGACCAAGCCCGACTGGTCCCCGTGGGCGGCATCTGGCAGAGGTGGTGGTGGGTTGGGGGCTGGAGCGGGTCCGGCATGCTTCACCCGCAGCACGCGGCCAGGCTTGACCTCCACAAAGGTGTAGCCATCACTGGACTCGACGCTCTCCAGTGGCCCCACAGCATTGGGTGGTGCACCCAGCAGGCAGCAGAAGATCCCGCCGGTCACCCCGGTCAGCATGGTGTGTCCTGGGAGTGGGGGTAACAGCCAGCTCAGGGGCTGTCTAAATGAGGAGCCCTCCACCCCCACAGCATCCACTCCCCACACCTGGGTCAGGGGAGCCACACTGGGAGGCCCCTTTTAGCCTCCAGTTTGCAGAGAGCCAAAGCCAGCCACGCACCAAGATGTTCTGTCTGGGTAGTGCCTGCGTGGTGGTCAGCTACCCTCCTGGGCCAGCCTGGTCTACCCTAGAGAGAAGGACCTGGCTGTGGCTGACCCCAAGAGACATCCATAGTGAAGCTGGTGTAGTCAGGGGGTGCTTCCTGGAGGAGGGGACATTGTGGTAAATGTGTTTCACCCCTGAGGATCCCCAGCTTGAGTTTATAGCATATCATTCATTCATGCATGCACTCTCTCATTAACTGACTTTCACTGAACTAGCTTATCCTGAGGGCCTCTGACGGCATCTAAAAGATGCAGATCCCGTGAGCCCCCACCCCAGGCCTCTGAACCTGGCTCCTGAAAGGTGCGGTCCTGGGGGAGAGGGTTCCGGCCCAAGCTACAGAAGGCCTTGCCCAGTTCCGCGAGACCACATTCGCTGGGTCTGTTTCACAGATGGACAAGCTGAGGCCCAGACACTCTGTCTCCCTTGGTCAGTACCCTAGGTTCTGGGCGTCTGACACACACCCTCCAATAGTGGAGAGGAGGATGGAGAAGGCAAAACCCTGGCTGGGGGCCTCCAGGCCTCCATCCTGCTCCCTGCCTCCCCCCGCCCAGTGTCCATGACAACCGCAGACAGTTACATAACTCGAGGGGGGATACCCGCGCAGCGCACCCCCATTGTCTAGGGCCTGGAGATGGGACCAACCCCTCCCCCATCCCCATCCTGGGAGCTGCGGGGATAAGGCACCTGAAGGCCCGGCCTGCGGTGGCCTGTTACTTGCTGTTGGAGGGGGAGCAGGCAGCGTCCCACCTCTGGCGAGTCCCAACCCCCTATTGCGGAGGGGGCGCAGATGCGCCACGCCAGCCCTCCTCTTCAGGGTTAGGCCCCCGCCTCCCGGGTGCCCGTCAGCCCTGCGGCGGGGTTGAGGACACTGGGGCTCCGCGGCTTTCTAAGAGCTCGTGCACGGGCTTTGCGGACATCCCCCTCCTAAGGGGAAACCCTGGGGGCCTCGATGTCCCCCTCCTAGGGCCCGCTCCCCGCTCACCTCATTGAAGGCCCTGGAGCCCGGGGCAGGGCGGAGGGGTACCGGGCGGAAAAACCAGTGTCCGCCTGCGGGCGCCGTTTACATGGTGGCGCGGGATCTGGCCAGACGCATCTACGCAGGCCGGCGCGGGCCCAGGGCGGTCAGCGCCGGGGCGTCCCGCGGCCGCCGAGCCAGCCGGCCCTTTAAGTCTCTCCACAGAGGGCGGGGCCGCAGCCGACGGACGGGCGCCTCCACCAATCGAAGCTGCGGACTGACCTGGCCTAGTTAGACGGCCAATCAGAGGCGGCAGCCCCGGGATGGGGGCGGGCCCTGGAAGCAATGGCCCCGCCCCCCTGCGGGGTTTACCGAGGTGGAGGGAGGAATTGGGCCGGGCTCACCAGCGGGAAGGGGTCACAACCTGCGGTCAGCCGAGCTCCTGCCGGGCCGCAGCCGGAGCCTCCTCGCTGCAAATATAATCTCCTTGGCCTTCCCCTACCTCTGAACTGCCCTGTCCCCTCCAAATGGAGCCCCCATGTCCTCTCTGTGCTGACCTTTCCGTTCTGGAGACTCCCAGATCTTTCCAATTTCAGGTGGGGAAACTGAGGCTCAGCTCGTAAAGGGCACAAGGTCACAAGGCAAGGGCGGGGGTGCAGAGTTGGGACTTGGAACCACAGCTGTGTGTGTTTCCAAGTCTGGAAATTGTTATTCGTTAAACCTTTAAACAGTCCTCTTGGAGGTGGAGTTTCGCAGATCGGCCGAATTTAATTGTTGGCCGATTCAATCGGTGACTCTGGTCCCAGCTGGGGTCCGAGAGCCCAGGGTTCAAGTCCAATCTCTTCCCTTTGCTGATCTGTGACCTTGGGCAAGTCGCTTCCCTGAGACTCCATTTTATTTTTCTCAAATTCATTCCCTCGTGAGTTTGCTCTGCAGGTAAAACAGCACGGAAAGTGCTCGGTACATTTTTGGCATTATTATTGAACCGCTGTAGTGGTTGGCCAAACGACGGTGCAGGTAGAATGGGCTTCAGAGAACAAAGGGTTAACCATTCCTTGCCCACTTTCATTCCCTGGAATTTGCTGCCAGAGCTGGATGAGGTCCAGCCGCCCACTCTTGTCCACTCAGGGCGCTCCTGGGAGACTACAGTTTATTCATGCAGCAAACACTTCTCTTTTCCCCTCTCTGGGCCCTCCCCACCCTGGGGGATGCTGGGGTGCCTACAAGGACTCAGCCCAAGCCCTGGGCTTTGGGGAACGTCTGAGGAAAGCCCCGTGGGGGCAGCGTGGGGCCAAAGGAAGGGAGAGGGCTGGAGGGAGGAGGGTCTCTGAGGAGGACTTTAAAAAGATGAATAGGGGAGCATCAGGCAGAGGAAACTGTGGCTGAAATTTAGGGTGTGTGCGTGTGTCGGGGGCTTTGCTTGCCTGCCAGAGGAGTTGGATATTTTCCCTGGGGCAATAGGGAATCTTAGAGGGTGTTTGAGAAGGGGAGGGGCTCAGATCTGAGTATTAGAAAAATTCTCCTAGGGCTCGAATGCGGGCACTGCCAAGGGCAAGCTTGCAACCCAGGAATTTTACAGACTGAGAAACTGAATCCCGCAGAGGAGCAGGGACCACCCCAAGGACAGCCAACTCGAACTCGGATCTCCTGGGCTCCCCGCCAAGGAGAGGAAACGGCTGGGGCCAGAGGAAAGCTGCCAGCCAGCTGTGTGCCATCTGCCCGGCTCCCGCTGTGGGTGGAAAGATGAACCAGCCGTTTCCTGCGACTGCCACCAGCTGCGCCACCGCCCCCGAGGAAACCCTCTGCCTGCCGACAGGAGAAGGAACTGCAACTCCCAGCAGACCCCCGGACGTAATGTTTTGTACGCACGCGCATACCGAGAAGGCGCCGTTCGCCTGCCGCCTGCTGGTCCACCTGAAGAGCTATACTCCCTGGTGAGTACGGAAGCTCACGCCTACGGTGCGCAGGGGGCCCCCGCGGCAATTCGGCCTCCGCTGTAGGAGAAACTACATTTCCCAGAATTCTTCGTTCTGCAGCGGCTGAGCCTATGGGCTTCAGAATAGCTGCGGCGGGGACGGCGTGACCAGCTGCAGGCCATGGCTTTTTTGGCCCGATCCTTGGGTCGCCTGTTGGGTCCGGCGGCGCTACTGGGTGGCAGGTGAGTCTTCACGAGGAGCGTTCCCCAAATCTGGGGGTAAGGGCTGCGTCGGGGGCTGGCTCCAGCTGTTTACCTACCACGTGATCTACCAATGCCTCGCGCACTTCTGGAGCGCTTAAAATGCATGCAGGCTCCGTCCCGGCACAGATCGGGAAGCCCAGTCTCGGAGAGGTGAGCGCCACGCCGAAGTCACAGAGCGCCCCGCTGACCTTTCTCGCCCTCTCTCTGCCCCCTCAGGTGGCTCCAGCCCCGGGCCTGGCTGGGGCTCCCCGACGCCTGGGGACTCCCTGCCATGCAGCAGACCCGGGGCAAGGCGCGCGGGAACGAGTATCAGCCGAGCAACATCAAACGCAAGCACAAGCACGGCTGGATCCGGCGCTTAAGCACGCCGTCCGGCGTCCAGGTCATCCTTCGCCGCATGCACAAGGGCCGCAAGTCGCTGAGCCATTGAGGAGCGCGACGCTACCGGCGGGACCGCCATTAAAGCATTTTCCTCGCCTCAGACCTTCTCCTGCCGCTGTTTTTGTGGGGAGCAGGGACGACTCAGACATGAGTGCTCCTCAAATTGTGGGGTAGGCCCAGGGGGAGAAGTCTGGGTTTGGACTGAAAGAGGGAGTGGGAAGTCAGACCTTGTCAAGTCCCTTTTTATGCATTTGAATTAGGAAGAATTTCGAACACGCGCCAACAGTTCACAGAAGAGTACAGTGAACCCCCGTGTACCCGGTACACAGCTTTGACCACCAATTACTCGCGACCCAGCTGCCCCTTCCTGTGTTATTTTGAAGCAAATTTCAGGCATCGGGTTATTCTGTAAATATTTCAGAATGTCTCTTTCCAAGATAAGGGCTCTTTGAAACGTAAGCGCAAAACTTTTCACTCCTAAAAAGATGGCCAACAATGCCTTAATATCTTTGAACGTCTTTAATGCCTAATAAGTGTTCCAATTTCCACTTGTCATATATGTCATGACTTTTACAGGTTGGGAAGGCTTGCCGGGAGGTGGGAGAGGTTTGAATCCTTCACTAGCCCCTTGGGGATGGAATGTGCGACCTTGAACGAGGCCTTAGCCCTCTGAGGCTCATTTGGCTCCTATAAAATTAGGTGCTGGTTTCTCCTTTGCTGTGTTGTTGGGATAATAATATTTAGTAGCTTCCACTTAGTAACTTATGGAGTACTTTCTATGTACTGGGTGTCCCGTCTTTGTCCTCACCAGCCTGTCAGCCTGGTAGTGGTGGGGGGACGTGATTTGTCCCTAAGCAGTTTGGACATAGCGGAGTCAGGGCTGGGAGGAGGATTGTGAGGGCTGTGGGAGCCCAGAAGAGGCGCCAAGTCATTGGCTTTGGGAAGAATGCAGGGAAGGCTTTCTGGAGGAGGTGGCAGGGTCTGGGAGGGCCCAAAGGGAGTAGGGATTAGGCAAGGGTCAGGATAAAAAATGGACAAGGGAGGCCAGAGGGGCCCAAAATTAGGGACCGAGGAGGTGGGACTGGATCCTTGAGGCACTGGGGAGCCACGGAGGTGTTTGAACAAGAGAATCTGAGCTGTCGGTTCAAAGATATTTAAGCAGCTGGTGCGGAGCGGTTGAGATATGCCGCAACCTAAGGAAGGCTGGGACCCTGGGGAGGAGGCTGGGGTGTTACGGCGGACCCCGGTCTTCTGGGGCTGCTGTGGGATACCACAGGAAAAAGCGTAGCAAACGCTAGAAAGAGAGGGGATCTGGGGAACCTCCGGAGTTGGGGCCTACAAATCCCAGGAGGCTTCGGGGGGCGGCCTCCGCCCACTTCCGGATTTCGCTTCCCGTCGCTCCTAAGTCCCGGGCGGGGTTTTGCTCTCTCAACTGAACTTGCCCACGAAAGGAGGAGGCGTGACGACCAATGGGCGCGTGACTTAGCCGGATCTGGCCAATGGGGGCGCGCAGAGCCGCATATCCTGAGGGCGGGGCTCGAGGGCGGGCCAATGACGGGAGGGTGACCGTGCCATCAGTGTTGGCTGTGCTGTGGCTGGAAGTTACTGTGCGGCGGCGGCTAAGAGGGCGGCTGTGGTGGCGGCGGCGGCGGCTCAGGCGGTGGCTGAGGCAGCGACGGAGGAAACAGAAGATGGTGAGGGCGGCCGCCGGGCCGGTACTCCCCCTCCGCTCCACAAAATGGCGTCGCGGGCCCACCCACCTCCAGTAATCCCCGAGGCCCCTCACCTCCCTGCTCGGCCCCCTCAGCCCCGACCCCGCCCCTCGCTCTGACCTGTGACCTTCCACCTCGGGACCCTGCTGTGAGCTTCCTGCTGACCCCGCCCTGGCTGCTTCTCCGACCCCTGACCCCATCTAGGTTTCCAGGCCCTGACAACTCATTCATTTCCGGGTCGCGGCTCCCCCGGAAATCGCCTGGGTGGGGATGGGGTCCCCTGAGACCCCCAGCTTAAGCCTCGTCCTCGGCGCCCCGGGCCTGAATTTCTCCACTTCAGGCGGGTTTGGGAGGCCGGCCTGGGCCTCGGGGCGGGGAGGGGGCTTGACATCGTGACATGCGGGGGGGGGAGGCCATTGTCGCCAACGGAAGTGCGACATCGCAGATTGCCCCGGTCCCCGGAGCCCCGAGCCCACCCCCATCATTCTGGGCCCTGACTTGCCCCTAAGAGGGAGCACCCTCGTCTCTCCGATCCCAGGCCCCGTCCCTGCTAAACGGGAGTAGCAGCGGTCCGGACCTCCTAGGGTTGTGACAGTTTAGGCAACTGACGTCGCAAAGGGCTTGTGACAGTGAATGCTCAACAGATGAGCTGGGCGACCCGGGCCAGTGACCTCCTCTCCGTGGTGTCTTCTCATATTGAAGTGGGGATGATGCCACCTGCTTGATGGGAGGTTAAAGTCCCCTCTGGGCGACTTGCTCATCCTGGGATCCGGTCTGGTGGTTCTTTGGGGTTGGATCCCCCCAACTGTGAGTGGACTCAGCCTCGGAGCTGGGCTGAAGCCCCCCCTCCCCTCCCACACTTTGACATCTCCAGGGCTGACGGGGGTGATGGAAGCTTTTGTCAGGGCAAGTCGGAGCCCATTATCCCCAGGCCCAGGGCCCCAGTCCACCACCCACAGTCCTGGGGATATGGGGGGAGGAGCAAAGGAAGGCTTCTTGTCAGGAAGGAGACGAGAAGCGGGGTTCCCAACACGCGGTCCCCAAGCCTGGGTGTTGTCCTTGGTTCCTCGCTGCGTCCTTATCGCCGACACCCAGTGGGTACCAGGGTCCAGCGGGCCCTGCCTTCAGGATACATGCTGAGTCTGGGGTGCTGGCCGTCCTGGTCAGGCACTCTCCTGCCAGGGCCCCCGCTTCCTGGTCTCCTCCCTGCCTCCTGCAGCCAGGGGCAATCTATAATTCATCTGGAAGCAGAGGGAGCTTTAACAGATGGAAATCAGATTTCCCCCTTTTCCAGCTTATAAAACACACCAGGGGCTTCTTGTGGTAACCCCAGCGAAGCCCCAGATCCCCCCTCAGCCCCCAAGGCCCCTGCCCTCCTCCATGACCTCATCTCTACCCTCTTCACCCCTGTCTCTGTGAGGTCCAGCCACACTGGCTTTGCTTTCTCATCCTCACACTCCCAAGTTCCTGCTTCCCCAGGGCCTTTGCACCTGCTGCTCCTTCTCCTTGGGATGCTCTTCCTCCTGTGAGCATCACCTCCTCAGAGGGTCCCTTCCTGACTGTGGGAGGCCCCCACAGCGCTCTTCTCTTGGACACCATTTCTTTTCCTCATCTCACTTTGGTTGGGTCCCTGGTGGGCTGCCTGCACAGGGACTGGCACGCAGATGTTCAGCGTGTGCTTGCTGAGGCAATAGGCAGCTGCTGGGCCCCACTGTGGCAAGGATTTGTGTGGCTGAGGCCAGGGTTCCTCCCCTGTGTCGGAGGCCGTGTGCTCCTGCGTAGCTGCCTGGAGGCCTGGCTGTGCCCTGGCTTCATTCACTTTTTCAGCACAAACGCGTGATGCTGGCAGCTGCCCTCAAGGGCAGGAGCTCCCCACGCAGCTCTTTCCCTGTGTTGTATGGCTGAGACTCGAACAACCCTGGGAGGGCCCCCTAGTAACCCCTGGTTCACAGGGGAGCCAGCCAGGCTGGACAGCCACTTGCCCCAGGTTGCACAGCCAGGATTGAGTGCAGGCCTGGGGCTCTGACCCCTGGTGAGGCCTGCTCTCTGCCCTCAGGGAGGTGCCAGTCCAGCCAGGGAGGCCATTGTATAAACAGACGCCCTCGGGGGGCGGGCGGGGTGCACGCAGGGTGGAGAGAGGGATGGGCTGGGGGTTTGAGTTGGGTGGAGGGGTTTGTGGGTGTTTCCCACATGGAGGAAGGAGGGGCATTCCTGGAGGGTGGCCTGGCCCGGGCTGAGGGAGCATGGCCAGAGGCCAGCAGGGACCAAGCCCACCAGGGCTGTGAAGGGGTTTGAGCAGGGACAGGGACCCCTCACCCTTCGGGTCTCAGCGCCTGCATCACTGCCGGTGGGCGGCCTGCCCTCATCCCCCAGGCCAGCCAGACCTGGGGGATGCCCCGTGTCCTGGGCCCCACTGCACTCTGTTCTCATGGCCTCTTCATGGGCTGTGCGGCTCTTTGATCCACACCCTAGTCTCTGTGCACTGGATGCTCCTGGGGCCAGCCAGTCTGCTGTGGCTCCCCAGAGCCCTGGTGCATGGCATGGGCCTGCCAGCCTTGCTGGATGGATGAGGCTGGCCCTGTGGTCTAGGGCCGAGCTGGGGCAGGGGGCCTGGGACTGGGGAGACAGGTTTGAGGGGTATTGAGCTGGCCCTGGGGCACTAGGTGGGAGCAAGAGGCTTCTTCCCATTCCTGTCTCCCTGGCTTCCCTGTGCTGCCAAGGTCTACCTGGGCCCCACTGAGGTGAGGACACCTGCTCCCTCTCGCCTGCCCTAGGTGGGCGAGCACCTGAACGGCGGCCCGGGTGGACCACCAGTGAAGGGTTAACATAGTCTGTGGGGGCTCTGAGCTCTGGATTTTCAAGTGGGGAAACTGAGGCACCAGCATGTCATATGACAGAAGGGCTTGGCCTCTGAGGGCAAGCAAACCTGGATTTAAATCGGCTTCCTCAGACGAGTGCCATGCAACCTTTCTGCCTCAGTTTCTGTGTCTTTATGATGGGGTGCCACAGGCTTGGGCAGCCCCTGGCTTGGGGCAGGGCATGTGGGGAACCCCACATGGGCCGCACTTCTCCCCAGCTGTCCCACGCCAGGCCTGACGACAGCATCACTCCCTGCTCTGTGGGGAGGTCACTCCCTTCCCAGGCTCTGGGCCTTCATCCCTCCCTGCACACCTCCAGGCTCTCGTGCCTCGGCTTTCCTAGGTGGATGGGGCTCCTGTTGGCCTTTACTCCCCCCATCTTGTGACTGAGGCACCCCCCCCGAGTCAGTCTTCCCCAGCCAGGCCCTTGCCGTCCTCAGCCAGCTGATGCCGGAGCACCCGGGAAAGGCCTTTGGAAGCAGTGGCGCTGGGCATGGCTCCGTGCTGGTCCCAGGCCCCTGCGCCCTGCCCACTTGCCTCCCGCTCCTGCTCGGGCCTCTGGGCCTCTCCCAGGAGGTGTCCTCCCCTCCTGGGGCAGCCGCCGAGCTGACCGCACCCCACACTCATCTTACAGAGGCCTGGCTACTGGTAGAAGCTTGGCGGTGCCATGTCAAGCCAGGATTTCTGTCTTCTCAGAGCTCAGCGGCTTGGTTGGCCCTGGCTCCTGCTTCCAGCCCCCGAGTGTTGTCACCCTGCCCCACGAGCCTCTCCTTCCTGGGTCTCTGTTACAGGTGGCCACACGGACCGAGACAGGGAGTTTAGTGTGTGACCAAGCACAGAGGGTAGGTCTGCAGTCGGACGGCCCGGGTCCCACTCCCTGCCTTGCTGTTGGCTCATGGGGTGACTGAAACAGGTGGCTTGTCCTTTCTGAGCCTCAGTTTCCCTACCTCTTGCCTGCTGCTGGGGCAGCTATGAGGAGCCTGTGGGAGAAGAGGCACCTCCCCCAGCTGGTTACTTTTCTCTGGTTGTGACAGGGTACATGTCAGGTAGTTAGCTCAGGGCGCACCCAGAGAACAGAAGGAAGGACCCTGGCATTGAAGGCGCTCCAGGGGACACGTGCCCGCCACGTGTTTCTCACCTACCCTCTTCCCTGTCTTCTAGGCAGATTTTTTGAAAGGACTGCCTGTCTACAACAAAAGCAATTTTAGTCGATTTCATGCCGACTCCGTGTGCAAAGCGTCGGTGAGTGCGTGTGCGGGGGCTTCGGGGGAGGGCTGTGCATGATGTGTCCCGCCGGAGCAGAGGCACCCCCCCAGGTCTTCGCAAGTCTTCTAGTCTGCAGTGGAGGGGGGCCCAAGTCGAGGGGCAAGGGGACCCCAGGCCTGTTCGCTCTCCTAACACACGCCTTCCCACCCCTCCCGCAGAACCGACGCCCCTCAGTCTACCTGCCCACGCGGGAATACCCGTCAGAACAGAGTAAGTGGCCTCACAGTCTGTCCCACCCGGCTGCCGAAGTGGCCCTGGGGACGCCGCTCAGCCTATGCACGGGGAGGCCCTTGGGAGCAGCAGGAAGCCTGGCTTTCTCCAGGACCTTCCTGCCCCATGCGCTGGCCTCCCTGTCCAGCCCGCAGGGCCCAACCACCCCTCCCATCAAGTCAGGCGCCCCCTGCTGGCTCTGCAGCACAGCCTCAGGGCTGGCAGCCTGGAGAGGGGCCTCCAGGGGCGGGCCCTGCGGGAATGCTGGAGCCACAGAGCTGGGCCTGAGGAGGTTTGCCAGGGTCGCAGTGTCTTGTTTTACCCCTCAGAAAGGATGCCCCCGGACTCTGCCATCCGGGCCCTGTGGCTGCTGGAGGACAGCTGCATGCATCTGTGCCCCCAGGGGGAAGCACACCATGAGGGGGTGCTACATGCTGGGGCTCACTGCCCCTGATGGCAGGGTCCTGCTCAAGGCTGAGAGGTGGTCACCCTGGCCGAGCGGCGGGCTCGGGCCCCTCGTAGTGGCCTTGTGCCTGGGAGGGAAAGTGGTGGGCTTCTGGAAATCTCCCGGGTTGGGGATGCTGACTGGAGTCCCAGGAGGCAGCCAGGACAGAAATGGTCTGGAGGCCAAAGGCCAGCACCCGTCCGGGAGGGGCGGAGCAGGTGGGGGTGGGGCCTGGCCACCTGCAGCCTCTGCCTGCAACTTTGTCTGTGTTTCCTCCTCAGTCATTGTGACAGAAAAAACAAACATCCTTTTGCGCTACCTACATCAGCAATGGGACAAAAAGGTAAAGCATGTGGGTTTCAGGTGGTGCCCAGCAGGGGGCTCTAAGTAGGGGAAAGACATGGGTGGCTGGGAGACCAGGTGTTCCAGTGGGGCCTTGAGGGCCCATAGGAGTTCACCAGGCGATCCAGGAGAGGGAACAGCACTGCCGAGGAGGGATGGCTGTGTGCGGGCCATAGGGCTCTGGTGTTCGGGGACGGGCAAGCCGCACCGAGGCCCAGATCCCTCTGAGGTCTGGCTCCCCGCTGCTAGCAGCGAGCAGGGCCCTGGTGGCAGGTAGATTTCGCCTTACCACCTGGAATCTTTGTTTCGTGGCGAAGTGTATATATGATTAAAAATCCAGGTGACCACAACTAGAAAGACCCACAACTAAAATATACAGCTATGTACTTGGGAGATTTGGGGAGAAAAAGCAGAAAGAAAAAAAAAGACTGGCAACAGTTGTTAGCTCAGGTGCCAATCTTTAAAAAAAAAAACCCAGGTGACACAAGAGCGGGTAGGTGCAGTAGGAAGTTCTCCCGGAGGCCGTCTTCCCAACACGCAGAGTGTTTTCTTTACCGGAAATCTGTGCCTGTTGTTCCGCATGTAGTTGGTTTGTTTTTTTCCTAACATTGAACATGGGACAGCCACCTGCTCGGGCGAGGTTGGAGGGGGATCCCGTGATGAAGTGCCTGGCCCACCCCCTCACCCTCCCCCGCCCCACAGGCCTTGATTCCCACCACTGGAGAGGTTCCCAAACCGGCCATCTTTTCTCTTCCGTGGCAATGCGTGGGCTTCCCCAGGCGGCTCATGAGAGCCCTTTGCCCTCTGGCCGGTGGGACACTCCTCTGAGTGTTTTGGGCCCCTTGTGCAAGCTGTGGTGACTCCTCGCAGTGCCCAGGGCAGGCTGGCGGCCCCCGGGACTGTGGCTTAGCTGGGCAGGTCTGGGTAGGGGGAGGGGCTGCCCTGCCAGGGGCCCTGGGTCCATCACCCTTCTGCAGGCCCAGCCCTGTGACGCCCTTGGAGCCCCAGGGCCTGGGCTGGTATCAGGATTTCGGGAGCTCACCCAAGGGAAGACTCACAGCCCCTCTCCCGCCCCTCACCCCCCAGAACGCCGCCAAGAAGAGAGACCAGGAACAAGTGGATCTGGAGGGGGAGAGCTCGGCGCCCCCCCGCAAGGTTGCCCGGACCGACAGCCCGGACATGCACGAGGACACTTAAGACTCATGCTCCCCACAGGCGCCTCCTGTCTTGTCTGCTCCTCGCCCGCCCGCTGTGTAAGCGCCCCCGCCTGCCCCGCCAGCCCACACCCCGCCGTCCACACCACTTCCAACCTCATAGGAGCCGATGTATTTATTTTCCTTGAGTTTTTATTTATGCTGTAAAATGTACCAAGTGATGGTTAAAGGGGACGTCAGACCCAGTAGTGTGATGTTGGTAGATGCTTTTTGAAAATAACATTGTTATTTACCTCCCCTGCCCTGCTCCCCCGCCTCCCGCCCCCCAGTCCTCCTCCTCCGGAGAACCAGAGCGTGTCTGCGAGGGTCCAGAGCCGGGCCCTGCTGCAGCCGGCAGGGGAGGGGGCGCTTCTCCCTGCTGCCCCCTGCTGGTCCGGGCCTTAAAGACTTGGCCTTGTCTCACCTTCTACCGGGACCTATTCTGTGCCCAGACCTTGCTCTGAGCGTGCGCCGGGGGAGAAGTCAGCCCTTCTGGATCTTTCTCTTAAGTCATTTTATCATGGACTAGTGCGTGCTCCGTGTCCACCCCAATAAAAGGATCTTTCCTAGTCGACCTTGCGTCTTTGCTCCGTGTGCCTCGGCCCCAGAGGACGGAGCCACTGAAAGTCATCCCGTCATCACCAAGAGGAGCCGAAAGGGGCCCCCACATGCCAGGGCCCTGGGACCAGCTGGATTCTCTCTTGGGCCTGCTGCGGCTGCCTCACTGAGCTCCAAGACCTGCCTGGACCTGCCCTGCTGCCTTACCTGCCAAGGGACCAGGACACCCCTGAGACACAGTCCATGTTGCCAAGGACAGAGCTGTGGTTGATTCCACGTCCAGGACACCAGCGAGCAGGGTGGCATGGTCACCAGCCACTGTGGAGACAGCCCAGTGGCCTGGCCTCACGTGCCCCTGGCTCAGCGAGCAGGCACACGGAGCGCCGTGGAATTCCCTGCCTAGGTGCCGTCAGTTGGCGAGTTCCATGACCACTCACAGGCCACCAGCTGGGCTGGGTTTGGGGCTGAGCTTGGGGACGTAGGGGGCTTTTGGGCTCTGGGCAGAAGGTTAGAGGCCCTGACCAGTGAGCTCGGGGCTGGGGAGAATACCGCTTCTCCCCCACCCCCGCCAGCCCAGCTGGGCCACGGTGTGGAGGCTGAGTGCTGGGCGTGGGGGCTGGGGAGGGCTTGAGCAGTGGGGCTAGAGGAGGTGCCAGGCCGCAGAGGGGCGCCCACCCTGGATTATCACTGTGGAGTGTCCAGCCTGAATCAGGCTGCTTGGGCCTGGGCTGCCCAGCACCTCCCAGGGTGGAAGGTTCCAGTTGGCTGTCCAGCTGTGCCATGGGGCCCAGAGGCTTCGCCTCCCAGCTCTGGGCAGTACCTCCACCTGTGTTCACTCCCTGTGTCACAAGGCAGATGCTTGGGAAATGCAAGCTGGACCGTGGTCGTGCCAGGGTGGGCTGAGTCCCCAGATGCTCTCAGACCGACGTGGAGTCCCCAGCCCCAGAGATCAGTCAGACCTGGGCAGGTGCGTGGTATTGCCATGTGTTAGTGACTGAGAAGATGGAGGCACTTCAGAGGCCACGGGGCAAAGCACGAGCAGGCTGTGCCCTGTCTTTCCTCAAGGCTCACCCAGGCCTCCCCAGCCCCAGCTCCCCCTTGGAGGGGCTGGGTTCCATCTCCCGCCAATGCTGTCCGCGGTGGGGGCGGTGGTCCTGTGGCCGTGGCCTGCCCAGGCCTCCCTATGGTCTCCCCGGAGCAGGCCCCTCAGCCTGCCTCCACCAACCCTGCCTGCTTTTAGGGTCCCCCTCCTCTCCTCACCTGCACACCAAACTCTGCCTTCCCACACCTCTGTGCCTTTGCACAGGCTGCTCTTCTGCCACCAGTGAGCCCCGGCTTCTCTCACAGCCCCCCCAAAGTGCCCTTTCCTCACACTGGCTCCCCTTGGGTTCCCCCAGTGCTGAGGCGGGGCCCACTGGGCTCTGAGCCTTTGGATATGGCCCCGCTCGAAGGTGGGAGAGGCCACCTCCACCCCTGATCACACAGTGAAGAGTCCCAGCGACTCGGTCTGACAGCTGTCCCACAGTGGGGCATCCCAGCCACTCCCCCATGCCACCCCTCAATGCACATCCCCTCAACATGGAGACAAGGGCACCAGATGCCTTCTGATCCTCACACCCGAGTTCTTCCCGTGGCCCCAGCTCCTCAGATGATGGCCCAAGAAGTGGGTGTGCCAGAAAGTGTGGCCGAGAGGACTGCGCGACCCCAACCCTGGCAAGGCCAAGACGCAGGCCCAGTGCCCAAACTGCTGAGTCCTTCCAGCACTTGGAGATTCCTTCCTTTGTCTGGGAGCCTGAAGCCAGGGCCTGAGGCTCTGCAGCTCTTCCCAGGGGCCCTGGGCCTGGAGTCGGCCCCCAAATCTGGGTCATCTCAGAGGCAGCAGTCTGGAGTTTTCCATTTGTGGCCTGGAGACCCACTTCTTAGTGGGAGGGGCCCCTATCCTGGGCCTACCAGGCCCCAAAAGAGCCTGTGCCAACCTGGTCACTGGGCCCCTGGAACCCCTTCCACTGCTCTGTCCTTAGGCACTGTTGAAATAGACTTTATTGCATTTCTGCCGTTTTACAAAAATATGACAAAATAAATTAAAAACAAATAAATAATCGCCTATTCTGTGTGTTTCCTGTTGGTTTTGGGGGTTGCCTTTCGTGTCCCCCATCCTGGTCGAAAGGAAAACGGCAGATCGGGGGCCGCGGCCCCGGCCCTGCCTCGGGAGGGCGGCCGATCCCGGGGCCGTGGCCGAAGCGCGGTGGCCGGCGGCGTCGCCCCGTCGGGGGCTGCTATTGCATACAGAAGAGAAGGCCGGGCGGGCCCAGCTAGTGCCAGCCGCCGGGCCAGCACACGGCCTGGGGGCTGGGGCTGGGGCTGGGCGAGGGCGCCGCGGGCTCGGGGGGCTCGGGGGGTGGCGGCGGGAGGCTGTAGAAGCTAGCGCCCCCCGGCAGGGGCTGGAGGCCGGGCGCGGGCCCGGCGAGGGCACAGGGCGGGCAGTCGGCTGCGGCGGCGGTGGGGGCCTGGCGGGGGGCGGCGCTCTCGCCCCCGCAGCCCCACGGCCCATCCCACTGCCAGCAGCCGGCGGGCGGCGTCGGGGGCCGGGGCAGCGGCGTTGGCGGTGGCGGCGGCGCGGGGCTCCGGCTGCGGCGGGTGCGCGGGGCGGGGGCCAGCGCTGTCCCTGCGGAGGCGAGAGGGGCCGTTCCGGGGGTGCCGCCCCCGCCGCCGGGCCCGCTGGGGACCCTGCCCGCGCTCCCTCCCGGGCTTCCAAGCACATGGAGGGCCTTATTGCTTCTGATCAGTGACAAGGGGTGGGCATCTTTGGGTGCATCCCCTGCCTCTGGGCACTGGGCCCCTCCCCTTCGTGAGGAGAGGACAGTCTGAGGAAGTCCCTCTGACTTCTGATCTATGTCCCTGCTGCTGCAGCTGCCACCTCTTGGGCTCCCTGGGGATGGGCTGCTCGACCCCTGGCTGGGCTTGGGAGGGGCAAGGTGGCAGGTGTGGGGGCCCGCGAGTCTGCTCCACACAAATGTGGTTGCAGCCTGTGGCTGGGCAGCTCAAGCTCCAGGCTGGGGAGGCAGCCGCAGCCCATGCCTCCAAGGAAGGCCTCCTCGAACAGCTGGGCCACGGGGTGGAGACTTGCATAGAGGCCTGGGGTACAGTCCCCCAGAGTGAGCTGAGTGTGGGGTCTTGTGGGGGCAGGAGAGGCTGGGCCAGGTGGGGAAGGGGCCTCCCGCATCTCTCCTGGTACCAGAGCATGGCGGGTTGGGTGCCCTGGAACAGGGGGCTTTGGAATCACTCCCTGGGCTTGAGGAGGGTCAGGCATGGGGCTCCAGGCTCTCCAGGGTCCTGGAGAGACTGGCAGGCTTTGACCAAGAGGCTCCGTGTACCATGTGCCCAGGTCCCCAGCCGGTACCAGAGACCGGACCTCCTCTGCCTCCTTCAACCCCTCTCCCCTGGCCTGGCCACCCCACCCCTACTGCCAAAGCCCAGCCCGGAGTCCCCACCCCCGAGTTAAAGCTTGTGACCTGAGCCTTCCTCTTCAGGCCGGGGGGCGTCTGGCTCCTCAGCCGCAGCCTCGTCCGCCGGCCCACTCCGCTGGGCCCGGCCACTGCCACCTCCAGGGGTCCCATCCAGCCGCGCCTGCCCGCCTGCCCCGTTGGACCCGGCCTCAGCCCGGGCCCCACCGAAGGGGAAGAGCTTGCCAGCGTGGAAGGCCTTGGGTGGCGAGTGACTGCGCTCAGGGTCCCGCCGGGTCTCAGGCGACTTGAGGAACTTGAAGCTGAGGAAGGCTGGCAGGCGGGTGTCACTGCCTGTGGGCGACTGGGCGGGGGGCGGCCGGGCAGCGGGGCCGGCCCCGGCCAGCGAGGCCGTGGCCCCTGACGACAGGAACTTGCCCTGCAGCGGTATGATCTGCTTCAGCTTCATGACGTTGTTGGGTGCCAGCAGGGACCCTGGGCGCTTGGGCCGCTCTGGCCCGTGGCCGCCCGTCCCGCTGCCCTTGGCCTTGGCTGAGGCCTTCTCAGGGGCGGTGGGGTCCAGCCCGGAGCCCTCGGCCCGCGCCTCCTCCCGGCCACTGGCATCGCGTTCCCGCCGGGTGTGATGCTCCGCGTGGCGCTGGCGCTCCTCCTCCTCCCGCCGCCGCCGCTGCTGCTGCTGGTAGCGGTGCTGGGCCTGGCGCTCGTGTCTCTGTGGACACAATGGAGACGTTACGGGGGACTGGGAGGAGGGGCCCAGGCCCACGTGGGTGCTCTATGTGGTGGAGAGCTCTAAATGCTTATTAGGTGCCAGCTGCACACCCAGACCCACACTGGGTCTACGCAGAAGTGGGGAGAGGGCTAAATGCTTATTTGGCGCTAACTGCATCCCTAGACCCACAGCAGTACTGAGAATTGAGATTGGGACGTTTACTGGCCACCACCTCTGTCCCCAGCAGTGTGCCAGGAGAGGGCAAACAAATATTGGGCCTCAGTGGTCCTCTGCTTTCTGCAGAACCTGCGAGAGACAGAGCCGTGACTGGCGCAGAACAGAGTCCACACTGGCCAGTCCCACAGCCAGTAGCCACACGTGGCTTTGTCAGTATCAATTCAAATAATTCAAATAAAAATTCTGTTTCTCAGCTGCACCAGTGCTTGTTGGCCACCTGTAGTGAGAGGCTACACGGACAGCACGGATACAGAACATTCGGTCACCGCGGAGAGCTCCACCGGTCGGCGCCGGTGAACTCCTTGGCCTGCTCTGCAGCTTTCTGAGGAACTCAGCAGAGGCTGGGCTTCTAGGAAGCATGCTGTGTCCCTGGCCCTGAAGGAGACACTGCCGGGAGAGCTGGCGGATGACTGAATGTCGACGAGTGCCAGCCTGGTGCTGGATGCCACCAGGATTCTGGAAGGGACTGGCCTGTTGGAAGCACTAATTATTACCCCGGGCTCTGTGCATCTGCCCTCCTTTGAGGGCTTGGCCGCCAGCCTGGCGACGTGGAGAAGCCCCACTGAGCAACGGAGCCCGGCCCCAGCCTGCGTACCTTGAAGGCCTCCCGACGCTGGTACTCGAGCTTGGCCATCTCCTCGGCCACCCAGCCGGGGATGTCGGGGATGGCCACGTGGATGAGGTACTTGAGGAGCAGAGCGAAGTGCTGAGGCAACAGAGGAGAAGGCTGCAGGCTCTGGGATGCCTGCCCGCTGCCCAGCCCCTGCCCCGCCGCCAGCCCCACCTCTAGCACCACCACGGACACGATGGCCGCCTCAGGGCTGAGCCAGGGGAAGAGGCGCTGCAGCTGCCCGCACTGGCCGATGAGATAGCAGTTGACCACGATTGCCAGCACGCCCATGGCCTCCATCACCTTCTGCGGGGGACACGGGGCTCAGGCGGGCTCCAGCTGCTCTCGGGGGCCTCCTGCTCCTCCCTGGTGCACCCCATCTCCCTCTGGGCCTTGGCTCAGAGCCCTCGGCCCTCCGCACACCTGCCACTGGCCGATGCTCTCCACCCGCTGCCCAAAGGGCCGCTGCAGCCCCGTGCACAGCTTGAGCGCGTCGCTGCGGATCTCGATGAGGTTGTTGACCAGAGCGCACAGCGCAGCCAGCGGGAAGGCAGACGAGAACAGCACAACGTAGCCAAACTGCACAAACATCTCCTGGTAGTCCTGGAACGTGTCCTGCAGGCGGGCACCCCTCAGACCAGGACATCTCCTCCCTGAGACCCCCACCTTCTCTTCAAGCCCACCTCCCCAGATTATCCTGCAGGACCCAGAGCCTCCTCATCCGGGAGGTTCCCAACCGCATCATGAGCCCATTATCGCCCCTAGCGCCCTCCACCCTCAGACTGTGTGCCCGGCCTCTGAGGGCCCTGCCCCCATCCTCAGACGCTCTCCTTACCTCGTACTTCTTCATACAGCTCTCGAGCTCGGCCTGGGTGAGTTGAGGTGAGTATTCCTCCTCGGGTGGGTCGATCCAAGATGCCCGATTCTGCCGCCGCTGCCTCCGGGCTGAGTCACCTGATCCCGGCTCCGGGTCTGCACCCCCGTCTGGCCCTTGGTCACGGCCCTCGCCCCCAGCCCGGCGGAGCAGGATGGCTGGGGGCTCCCGCTCAGGGCTGCCAGGAGCCCCCTCGGCCTCATCATCCTCCTCGGCCAGTGTGAACACACCGGGCTCCAGCCCCTTCTCCACCATCGTGGGGCTCCCCTCCTCCAGGAGGGCCTCTGGGCTTGGGCCAGGCCGGTGCCGCCCAGCCCCCCGTTCAGCAAAGCTGACCTTCTTCAGCCGGAGCCCACAGTCCAGGAGGCTGCCCTCCTCACCCTCCTCTTCCTCCTCCTCCTCGTCGTCTTCTTCCTCCTCCTCCTCCTCCTCCTCCTTGTCCCCCCTCAGCCCGTCCCCCACCTCCCCACCTTCCCCTGCTGGCCGCTGCTCCACCGTAGCCTCCTCTTCCTCCTCGGGGGCCCCACAGCCTCCACCGAGACACCTGCGTCCCATGCCACTGCTGCTGCCACCCCCCTCTTCGGCCTGGGGTTCAAGGCGGCGGGGCGCAGGGCGCCGGAGGCTCAGCAGGCCAAGCAGGGCTCGGGCCAACTCCCAGGCCGCCCGCAGCCCGAGCTCGCCACGGCCCAGCCGCCGGTACAGGTGTGGCTGCAGGACCTCGCGCACGTTCTGGAGGAACTGGCGGGTGATCAGCAGAGTGGCCAGCATCTAGGGGTGGGAAGGGGGTGGAGAGAGGCCACATGGGGGGCAGGCAGGGCTCTGGGCACCCACCCTCCCAGAGCATGTTTCCAGACACTTGCCCTGAACCCAATTCCTGTTTCTGCTTCTTTAGATGTCCCTGGACATGGAGGCCCGCGCCTCAGCATGTCACTCTCACCTGCCACAGAACCACCGCCTGGGCGCCCCTGTGCCTCTCCACCCACCCAGGCTCCAGGCCTCCCTGCTTACAGCGCTGCCTGGAGGCTCAGCTGGGGCCTGGGGCCTTAACGGGTCCCTGCCACCTGCACTCTGTCAGCACAGCCCCAGCCCCTCGGAGCATGCCCCCTCGGCTTGGGGTGAGGCCCCAGCACAGCCCCGCTGCCCACCCCGGCGAGGCCTGGTGGGCTCGCCATCTGCCCGTACTTTGGCCTGGGCCATGAGCAGGAGGCCCCGGAGGGAGAGGAGGAGCAGGCGGAACCGCAGGGCCACGAGCGGGACCAGCACCGCCTGAAGCTGCCGCTCGAGGCTCTGGGACAGGGACAGGACGAGCAGGAGCTGTGGAGGGACCGACGGACAGGTGGACGACAGATAGGGAGGTGACAGGCAGAGAGAGGACGCACGGACGGACAGACGGACAGAGAGGAGAGAAGGATGGAGGAGGGGGGGGAGGGGCTGGAGAGCCCATGGACCCCTTTGGCCAGGTCCGGCCTGCGCTGGCCGCCATGGGGGTGCTGCCTGGGGCGGGGGCCTCACCTCTTTCAGGCGCTCCATGTCCTTGAGGTAGAAACCGATGTAGAATAGGCTCAGGTAGGAGTTGACGAACTGGAACTGCAGCGGCAGGGAGGCGGGCGGTCACTGTCACCCCGGCCCCAGGAGCCCACGCAGCCCCTGCCCGCCTGCTGGCCGCCACTCACCAGGACGACCTTGATGATGAGGTGCTTCTCATAGGCGCTCTCCAGCCGGTAATTCTCTGGAGGCCAAGGGGGCGAGTGAGGGCGCGACCCACATCCCCGCGGGCAGTAGGCACCTCCCCCGGTGCAGGGTGGCGGGCAGCGGGCCCTCCCCTCCGGGCATACCCATGTCGTTCAGCCAGACGGCGAGCTTCTTGTAACCCTCAGCGCTGGCGCTGACCAGCAGGGCCAGCACGACCTTGGGCAGGAAGCGGGCGAGGCGGGGCAGCCCCCGCACACTCAGCACCAGCTCCTGCGGGGCAGGGGTTCGTGGTCACCCGGCAGCAGGGCTCCGCTCGGTGCCGACCTGGGCAGGTGGTCACCAGGTCGGGGCCAGGGCGGGGGCCAGTGGTCACCTGCAGCTCGAAGCAGCCGAGCATGAGCAGGAACACGCAGGCCAGGCAGGTGAGGCACAAGGGGAGGCTCACGAGCAGCTGGAAGAGCAGCCGCTTCCAGGGTGGGTAGTAGAACTCCTCCGCCCGCGTCACGGGGCTGATGCGGCGCACGCCCTGGCGGAAGGCGCCCGGGCCCAGCGTGAGGCCCCAGGGGCTGCCCTGCGCCGCGCAACCTTCCCAACCCTCCGCCCAGATTCCTCCGCCAGCCTTTGCTCTCTCAGCGCCCCGCCTAGGGCACCCTTCCCAGTCCCTCGAATCCAGGGTCCCACCCTCCCCCTCCAGCATGCAGGCCCCCACCTGGCATACCCTTTTGACGCTGCAGCCCTATTTCACGCCTCCCCGTCTGGGCTCCTGCAGTGCCCCTGGCCCAGTGTGTTTTCTGCTTTACCCCATGTTCGGAGTCCTTGGATTCAGGCCCCTCCCGACTGACCCTGAACTGGGGTCGTGGCTCCTCCACAGCTTCCCCGGGTGAGTCCAGCGTCCCCCACTTGTAGGCCAGCTCCGCCCCCCTCCGTTTCCACTCCTCTAAGAACAGCGTTGACCAGACCACGTTGAAGAGGGCAAAGACCACACAGGAGACATCCCGGCTTGTCTGGAGATGGCAGAGGGGGGCGGACCTGTTGGCCAGGCTGGCCCAGGGAGGAGGGTGTCTCGGGTACCGCAACCCCTGCCCGGCCCACGCGCAGCACCTGATCGGCTTCTGTGAATGTATACAGGACAGAGCCAAAAACAGCCGGGTACACCATCGCCGATGTATAGAAGCCCAGCCAGGCGAAGTACATGGCAATCTTCACGCCAAAGTAGTCACAGATCTCGTCTGCCAGGGGGACAGAGGGTCCCGGTGAGCCCTCCCTGCTTCCTGGGACTCCCGCCCCCTGCACCCCCCTCACCACCATCCCCCCCACCCCCGCCCGGCCAGGGCCGCACCTAGAGGCTGGTTTTCACACACAGCCTGCACCCATGACTTCATGAGGCGGTTCAGGATGCGCTGCTCATGGACTGGGAACACCTGCTGGATGATCCCGCGGGCTGCCAGCTCAGGGACTGCTGGGCAATAAGAATGGGTGACCCCTGGCCTCTGCCTGTACCTAGCCTGCCCAGCCCCCCTTGGCTGAAACCCAAGTCACAGCTCGTCACCTGCTCTTAAACCCACAGAGGGTCTCCCAGGGGAGGAATTCTGGGTAGATGGAATATCTGGTTCTTCAGAATTTGGGAGGTGCAGGGGCAGGCAGGGAAGGGTGCAGGAAACCTAGCGGGGGGGGGGGTTCCCTGTGGTGAACCATGTTTTTAAACAAAGCCACTTGGCTTCAGTGTATTGCTCCAAATCCTTAGGAATGGTGCAAAGTTGGTGTCAGAAGGTGAGCTTGTCGCGGCTGATTTCCTGGAGGAGAAACTGAGGCCCAGGGCCGCACCACACAGTACATGGAGTGCTGTCGATGGTCCTGCCCCTGCTTTATCCTAGACCCAGAAAAGGGTTTCTCGTGGACCTGCCTCCCAGGGGATAAGCCCCACCCCTTCGCTAAGGCCACACCCCTTCAGTTTATTGATTAACCTATCTCCAGGCCCCGCCCAACTCTTCACTAGCCTGATAGGTTGGACTTAGACCCTGCCTTCATGCCTTGATAGGCTGTCCTGAGAGCCCCACCCAACTCCCCACATGTGATTGGGGGGTTGGCCCCGCCTCACTCACTGATTGGCTGGTCCTCCAGAAAGCGCACATTGTGCAGAGCCTCGCCCTGCTTGGCTCGCAAGTTCTGCAGCCAGAAGCGGATGATGCTCTGGCGCTCCTGCAGGGGACAGGGCATGAGCACAGGGAGCCGCAGCCCACGTGCTAGGGATGCGCGCTGGGGGCCGGAGGCTGCCACACCTGGGAGGTGAAGAAGCGCATCTCACTCTCCACATTCTCGTAGATGAAGTCCTCCTCGCAAGAGAAGCTGCGGGTGCCCCCACCAAACTCGGCCTTCACTGCCTTGCGCAGACCCAGCTCATCGGCCCCTCGGAGTAGGCTGCAGGAAGGGCAGGGGAGGTGGATCAGTGGGGAGACCCTGGCTCACTATCCTGGAGCTAGGGATAGTGCACCTGGCAGCCGCCTGGGACAAATGCAGGGCGGCCTGACCTTGCAATTAGAGCTCGTAAGGGCGAGGAGCTGGGTGACAGGGTAAGCAAGAAGCCAGGGACAGGGACTCGCCTCTCATACGTGGCGGTGACGAAGAAGGCATAGGCACGCGTGTGGCGGTGGTGGCGGACTTGCACGATGAGCTCGGGGATGCCCACACGGATGTGGTTCAGCAGCCACAGCAGTGTGTGGTCATCAGTTGTGTCTGCCAAGGGCACAGGGACTGATGGCTCTTGCCACAAGTGGTCTGAGGCCTCCTACAGACTCCCACTCTGGGGAGCCCAGTCTGGGCCCTGGGCAGATGGGCACGGGTACCTGGGAAGGTCATCAATACATCGCAGTTCTCCGTGGGCACCGTCTTCATCCACGCTTTGTGGGACACCAGGTATCGACCCGCCTGCAAGAGCCGCTTCCCAAAAAGCTTATCTGGGGGGCAGGCGAGACAGGCCGGGGTCAGGCCACTTGTGGACTCGGACTCCTACCTCCAGTCTGGATCTTTCCAGCCCTCGTCCCTGCTCATACACTCGCCAGGGCTCCTCGGCACTCAGCCTGGCATTCAAGGCGCTGCTAGCTCTGGCTTGGCTTGCTTCCTTCTCTCCATGTCCTTGCACCAGCCAGGCCCTCCCCAGGAATGCCCTTCCCCCAGGTCCTCCCTTACAAATCTTACTCATTCTTGAGGCCCAGCTCCGCCTCCAAAACCACAATCGATGGGGCGCTCACTAACAGCCCTGAGTTCTTCACCACATTATGTCAGCACGTCCTCACAGCTGGGTGTGGTTCTCACCCCATTTCGCAAGTGAGGAAACTGAGGCCCAGAGCGTGTAAGTCACACGCCCAAGGTCACAGAGCCGAGCTGAGATTCGAACCCAGGACCTATGATTCTATATCCTCTGCGGAGAGGCTCTCTCAAGCGCATTCCCGCCCGGCCGAGATCTGGTAGCCCAGGGGGTGACCGGACTCAGCCTCCGGCCTGGGCTCTCGAAGGGGCGTGTCCGTGTCTCTGCGCCGGGACCCCCGCCCGCTGCACGGGCTCCGCCGCGCCCGCCCGGCCGCAGCCGCAGTGCCGGGAGGAGCCGGCCCCTGGTGTGGACTCCAAGCCTGGGACAGCTGACCCCAATCCCCCTCCCCGTCTGGCCGCCGCGCGCACCCCAGGCACCTGCAACCCTGTGCGATGCGGCCGCCGCACACATACCCAGAACTCCGGACGCCGGGGTTGCGGGCTCGCCCTCCGGCGGGGGCCTCTTGCCGCGCTCGCCCTCCAGGGACGTGCCCCCGGCGCCTGAGGTGGCTTCGGCCATGGTGAGGGCAGATCAGGTCAGGGGCTGCGGGCGGCCCGGGCGCCGGGGGGCCGCGGGCTCATGGGGCCGGCGCAGCCGAGGAGAGCGCCGGAGGAGGAGACAAAGGCCGCGCCCGCCCGCCCGCGCCGGCCGCCGTCCCCGCGTGCCCGAGCGCTGCTTCTCGTCCCCGCCCGCGCCAAACCTCGAGTCTCCTCCTCGGCCCCGTGCGCGTCGCTTTTGGGTTCTCGACTCCGCCCGTGTCGTTTTGTGGGTTTCGTTCTCGCCCGCCAACCTTGCTCTCTGGTGCTCGTCCCCGCCCGCACCGAAGGTGCATTCTCCTCCTTGTCCCCGCCCGCGCGGTATTCTGGGTCTCGTCCCCGCCCGCCCCGGGCCTGGATTCTCAGCCTTAGTTTCCCCGTCTACAAAGGTGCGGTGTGGAATCGGAGATGGGCGTGATTTCACTTGGGCAGGACGTGGCAGAGGGCGGGCCTGGTCGGGCGAGATTCCGGGGAGCAATAACTTCAACCACCACAGCAGGGATGCGCAGAAATAACCATAGCAGGTCCTGCCTCAGGACCTTAGCGCATGCAGTTCCGCTGCCTAGGACACTCTTCACGCCTCTTCGTCCAGTTAACCCCCGCATTCTTCAGGGTGTACCTCAGAGAGGACCCGGTAGACTTGCCAAGTTTAGCAAGTAAAAATACAGCTCTCCCAGTTAAGGGTGAATTTCAGATAAACGAATAAATGTTTAGTACCTCTCAAATAATACACGGGACATAGTTATACTAAAACGTTATCCGTTGTTTATCTGAAATTCACATTTAACTAGGCGTCCAGTATTTTGTCTGGCACCCGGACCCTTGACCATCCTGAGTAGCCTCCTCCGTTAGACTGGGAGTCCAGCGAGGGAGGCGCACACAGTAGGCATTTGATGTATACCTGTGACAGCTCCAACAGCTCGGAGACGGCGAACGTCATCGTCCCTTTTACTGATGAAAAAATTGAGCAGGGCGGGCATAGAGGGATTAAAACTCTAGTCTGTCCGACCGATTTTTCCCAAAGTGCAGGTGCGCCGCCCGCCCGCTCCGTCCAAGAGCCAGAGAATCGGCCGTGCGAAAGCGCCCCCGGAGACCCGCCCAGCCGGTGCCTGGAATTCCATCCTCAGCGCGTTTTTCCGCGCCCCTGCGCTGTCCTGGCTTAACCCGAAAGTCATCTCCGAGGCTGCCCTGCCTGGGTTTCGGGAAGCCGGACACAGAGCGGACACTCAGCTCTGCACGACCAGGCCGGCGCCATGGAAGCCCAGAAGGGAGAGAGGGCTGTGCGGGAGTTCCAGGAAGGCTTCCTGGTGGAGGGGACCTTGGAGCTAGACCCTGAGGATGAATTTGTCAAGTCAAGGGTATCCGAGGCCAAGGGAGAGGCCGGAGGGAAAGGTGGGGAGTGGCGAGAAGCTGGAGAGTTCCGGGAAAACGAGTAGAAATCCCAGAAGTTTGGACAAGATTTTTCCAGGGCCAGTGCGTGGGTTCCCCAGAACCCAGCCCTCCCGGCCCCTGAGACGCTCTTGTGTCGCCTAAGGCTACGGAGTGGCCAGATGGAAATAACGGGACTCGAACCCGTATCTTGTTGTAATTCCCACGGCCTTGAGGCAAGCCCTGTCCTTCCACCCGTCATTTCCGGTGTCTCGGATTTCCCCGCCGCTCTAGGATCCTAAAAACTCGGTCTAATGTTTCCGGGGGAGCGCCATTTCGTTGCACCCCGCCGCGTGCAGCCCCCTGTTTCTTTTCCTGCACCAGCCAATAGAAACGAAGATCATCGGTGGGTGGGCGGTACGTCTCCTAAGGGGCCCAATGGTAGTCGAGAATCACTGAGTGCTTTACCAGTCACGCCGCAGGGTGGGCGGGGCCTCCTGCCCGGCCTTGAAGCTTCCCAGGCAGGGCGGTCGGGCGGGTCGCTGGTTGTGAATCCATGTGGCGGGGACTGTGGACCCTGGTAACCCGGGCGGCACATGGGCCTCGCAGGTGAGGCGACCCGGGGAAAGGGGTGTGAGGGCGTGGGGCGCTGCTTGGGCCCCAAACTCTCCCTGGGACCTGGGGGCCCATTTCCCTGCGGCCGAACCGCCTTTGTTTTCTTCCAAGTCCCAATCTGTCCATCCCCGTGCCACAGAGCCCACATCTGGGTCAACTTCTGCTCTCAGAGACCTCAATCTGGGCACCCTCCCGCCTCAGCCCCTCCAATCTGTCCCTGCCCCCGCCGCAGTGCCTCCACTTGGGGCATCTCCCGACCGGCGAGCCCTCGATCCACCTGCTCCTGCCGCAGATCATCCCAGATGCATTGACTCTCCTCCTCTCCAGTCCCAGATCGTGCATGCGCCAGGCAAGCGGCGCCCCGGCCCCCGGCTCCGGGGCCACCATCTTCGCGCTGAGCTCCGGCCAAGGCCGGTGTGGCATCGCAGTGATTCGGACCAGCGGCCCCGCCAGCGGCCACGCCCTCCGGAGCCTCACGGCGCCCCGGGACGTACCCCCGCCCCGCAGCGCCTGCCTGCGGCTGCTCAGCGACCCCCGCACTGGGGAGCCGTTGGACCGCGCGCTGGTGCTCTGGTTTCCAGGTGAGGGACTCCAGATCTCGAACCTACTGTAGCCCCCATGACCCAGTTTACCCACTCCAGGCGTTTGCCCAGGCTGTATCCTCCTCCTGACTCCCCTCTCCTCGCCTCACGAGGTCCCCAGAGTTTCACTGGTGAGGACTGCGCAGAGTTCCACGTGCATGGAGGCCCGGCCGTGGTGAGTGGTGTCCTGCAGGCCCTGGGTGAGTCTGCAGCCTTGGGTGCTATCTGCCAGCGGCCTGCGTGAGGGCAAGGGAGCTCAGTACCCGCGACCTTCCCTCAGGCAGTGTGCCAGGGCTGCGGCCGGCCGAGGCAGGCGAGTTCACCAGGCGGGCGTTCGCCCACGGGAAGCTGAGTCTGACCGAGGTGGAAGGGCTGGCGGATCTGATCCATGCGGAAACCGAGGCTCAGCGGCGGCAAGCCCTGAGGCAGCTGGACGGGGAGCTGGGCCACCTCTGCCGCAGCTGGGCCGAGACCCTCACTAAGGCAAGTCCTCTATTTGCCGGTTCTTTGCCTCAGAGCCCCCCGCCCCCTTCCATCCCCTGCCTGGGAGCCTGTTGTCTGTAAGCCGCCAATCTGGCCCGTTAGTTTGGGCTGGATCTGGGCAAATTGGCAGGTCGGGTGTGGGTTCCTGGGTGATCACACTACCTACTTCCCGTCCCCCAGGCTCTGGCCCATGTGGAGGCCTATATCGACTTTGGTGAGGATGACAATCTGGAGGAGGGAGTCCTGGAGCGAGGTGGGTCCGCCTGGGGTGCGGGGTTGGGACACCTGGCATCTCAGCTCCCAGAAGCCCCCTCACTCCCTCCCTCTGCTTCCTCCACCCACAGCTGACAGCGAAGTGCGGGAGCTGGAGGTGGCACTGGGCGCACACCTTCGAGATGCCAGGCGCGGACAGAGGCTCCGCTCAGGGGCGCACGTAGTGGTTGCGGGACCCCCCAACGCCGGCAAGAGCAGCCTGGTGAACTTACTCAGTGCGTGGGAGGTGGGCAGGGGCGGGGCCAGGAGCTGGGGAGCTGTCATTCCGGTGTAAGGAAGGGGCCAGGGAGGACGCAAGCTCAGTCTGGCGCTGGGCGGGGGAGGGAGAGCTTGAGGGAGGGGCTGTCTCACTCCTGCACCCTCATTCTCTGACCCTCTCCCCCCAGGCCGGAAACCTGTTTCCATTGTGTCCCCTGAGCCAGGGACCACCCGCGACGTGCTGGAGACCCCTGTGGACCTGGCCGGGTTCCCAGCACTGCTGAGCGACACGGCGGGCTTGCGGGAGGGCGTGGGGCCCGTGGAGCAGGAGGGTGTGCGGCGCGCCCGTGAGAGGTGGGCTGGCAGGTGGAAAACGGGGCCTTTCCTCTGTTGTTTTCCTCTGTTGCATTTATTTTTCTTTCTTCCTGAATCAGAAAAGGCTGCTAAGCTCCCTTAACCATGGGGACTCCGTGATTTGGGGAGGGCAGCCCTTGGAGTTCGGCCTCTGCCTCGCCCCTCGCTTTCCGCCCCGCCCCTCGCTCTCCATCCCGCCCCCCCCGAAGTCTTCCCCGCGCTTCGGCTCTTCAGCGACGGCCACTTCGCTCTCCGGACACGCCCCTAGGTTCAGCACCGCCCCTTTGCTCTTCCACCCCCGCCCCCCGAGACTGCCCCCGCCCCTCGCTCTCCCGCACCGGCCCCCAGAGTCTGCCCCGCCCCTCGCTCTCCCCCCTGCCCCTTGCTCTCCGCCCCACCGGGTCTGCACCGCCCCTTGCTCTCCGCCCCGCCCCCGGGTCTGCCCCGCCCCTCGCTCTCCGCCCCGCCCGATGCCCTCAATTGCTCACCTCCCCGGGCTCTGCTCAGTGGGTTCTCCCGCTCACCTGGTTCTCCCTTCCTTCCCAGACTGGAGCAGGCTGACCTCATTCTGGCTGTGCTGGACGCCTCTGACTTGGCCTCTCCGTACAGCTGCAACTTCCTGGACACGGTTGTCACCCCTGCGGGAGCCCAGAGCCCCAACGGGAGCAGCCAGCGCCTCCTGCTGGTCCTGAACAAGTCAGACCTGCTGCTCCCGGGGGGCCCAGAGCCCAGTCCTGACGTGCCCCCTCACTTGCTGCTGTCCTGCCTGACCGGGGAGGGGCTGGATGGCCTCTTGGAGGCGCTGAGGAAGGAGCTGGCTGAAGTGTGAGCCCCCCTCTCGCCCGTCCCACAGCCTCCCTTCACCCAGGTTCAAGCGGGGGCTGAGCCCCTGGCTTTGGGCGCATGACTGCCCCGCAGGCTCAGTTTATATCTGCAAAATGGGTACGGATCACCTCCCTTCGAATAGTAGTTGTGAAGTTGGAAAAAGACGGTCTTTTTCCTTCCAGATGCGGGGACCCGGCCACAGGCCCACCGCTGCTGACGCGCGCAAGGCACCAGCATCACCTCCAGAGCTGCCTGGACGCCCTCGGCCTCTACAAGCAGGCGAAAGACCTGGCTCTGGCGGCCGAGGCGCTGCGGGTCGCCCGGGGGCACCTGACCCGTCTCACCGGTGGAGGGGGCACCGAGGAGATCCTGGACCTCATCTTCCGGGACTTCTGCGTGGGAAAATAAGGGGATTGGCGAAGCTCGGACCCAGGCTGGGTGGACGCCCGGAGGCTGTGAGACATCTGAGAACAGCTTAGGCCAAGTGGACTCTCATCCCCTGGGGGAAGAACTTGACCCCAAACGGTGAAGCCCCTGTTGTTGGCCAGATGCGGCTGGGGGCGACTTGTTGGGCGCGCAGGTCCAGGAGTAGGACTGAAGGAAGTCTCTCTGGGCACCTGATGCTGGGGAAGTAGGAGTAGAGGGTTGGGACGAAGCTCGGAGGGTCTCAGGGTTTTTGTTTCATGACTTTA